ACCCTATCCAGGGTTGCTATGAGTCAGAATGGACTTGACAACACTTAACAGCAGCAACAACACATGGCAAAGAGCAGCTCGAGAAGACAAAGTCAAGTTCTATAACAGAGTGTGCAAAGACATGGAGTTAGAAAACCAAAATAGTGATAGGAATGCAAAAGTTGGAAACAAAGAAGAAGGGTCAGTAGTTGTAAAATAAGGAATTTGTGATGGAAATGATGCTGGAGATCCCATGATAGAATTTTGCAAGACCAATGACTTATTCATTGCAAATATGTTTCTAAACAACATAAAAGATGACTGTACAAATGAACTTCACTAAATGAAATACACAGAAATCAAATTGGCTACATCTGTGGAGCGAGATGGCTGAAAAGCTCCATGTCATCAACCAAACAAGGCCAGGGTCAGAGGCACACGTCAACTGCTCATGTGCAAGTTCAGGCTGAAGATAAAGAAAAATTTAAAAAGTCCACAAAAGCCAAAAATATGATCTTGAACATTACCCCCAATCCCTGAATTTAGAGATCATCTTAAGAACAGTTTTGATGCCTAATGATCAAATCCCAGAAAACTTCTGGGATGACATCAAGAACATCATACAAGAAGAAAGCTACAGGTCACAAAGAAGGAAAAGACCAAAGTGGTTGTCAGACAAGACTGAAACTTGCTCTCCAGTATAGAAATTGTAAAACAAATGGAAGAAACGAGGAGGCAAAAAGCTGAACAGAAAATTTAAAGGGCAGCTTGAAAAGGTAATATCAAGGTATATAATGAAATGTGCAAAGATCTGGACTTAGAAAATCAAAAGGGAAGAACATGTTCAGCATTTCTCAAGCTGAAAGAAATGAAGAAAAAATTCAAGCCTCAACTTGCTATATTGAAGGATTCTAATGGCGTCTAATAGCGTCCTGGTGTGATGCTGTAGAATAAAGTACTGGACCTCAAAGTCAGTCTGATTTGCAAGGTTGGCAGTTCAAACCCACCAGCCGCTTCTTGGATGAGTGATGAGTCAGACCTGATTCAACGGCATTTGAAAAACAGCAATGGACAAAAATATTGAATGAAGCAAAAAGCATCAAAAGAAGATGGAAGGAATACAGAGGCATTGTTCTCTTTGATGATGAATGTGACACCAATCCTCTTTAATCTGTAATTTCTGGCATAGTAAACCATGTGATTGTCAGGTTCAAAATGCCAGTCCAATACTAGTCCATTTCAATTCACTGATGCCTAGGATATAGATCTTTATGCATTCCATTTAGTTTTTGACAATTTCTAATTTTCCTAGATTCATAGTTTATACATTCCATGTTCCAATTATTAATGGATGTTTACTGCTACTTCTCCTCATTTTGAGTTGTGCCCTTTCAGTAAATGAAGGTCCTGAAAACTTTACTCCATTCATGTCACCACGGTCAACTAAAGTTTGAGGGGCTCATCATTCAGCTTAGTCATATCTTGAGTGCCTTCTAACTTGAGGGGCTCATCTTTCAGAACTATATCTGACAATATTCTAGTGCTTTTCATCTTGTTTTCAATATTCAATATTCTCGTGCTATCTGACAGTGTTTCACTGCTATTCATAAGGTTTTCATTAGCTAAACATTCTGCTGGTTTCAGAAGAGGATGTGGAACAGGGATATCATTGCTGATGTCAGATGGGTCTTGTATGAAAGCAGAGAATACCAGAAAGATGTTTACCTGTTCTTTATGACTATGCAAAGGTTTTTGATTATGTGGATCATGACAAGCTGTAGACAACATTGAGAAGTATGAGTATTCCCAAACATTTAATTGTGCTCATGAGGAACCTGTACATAAACCAAGAGGCAGTTGTTCAAACAATAAAGGAGCATCGAGTGGTTTAAAATTAGGAAAGGTGTGCATCAGGGTTGTATTCTTTCACCATAGTTATTCAATTTGTATGCTGAGCAAATAATCTGAGAAACTGGATTGTATGAAGACAAATATGCCATCAGGATTCTATGAAGGCTCATTAACAACCTGCAATATGCAGATGATAAAAGCTTGTTTGTGAAAGTGAAGAGGACTTAGAATATTTACTGATTAAGGTCACAGCCTTTGGTATTGGTTACACCTCAATGTAAAGAAGACAAAAATACTGACCACTGGACCAATGAACAACATCCATATAAATGGAGAAAAATTGAAGTTGTCAAAGACTTCACTTTGCTTAGATCAACCATCAACACTCATAGAAGCAGCAGTCAAGAAATCAAACGATTTAGGCAAATCTGCTGCATAAGTGTTGAAGTGCAAAGATGTCAGTTTGAGGACTAAAGTGTATCTGACCCAAGCCATGGTATTTTCAGTAACCTCATATGCATGCGAAAGTTGGACACTAAATAAGTTGGACAATGAATTCATAGAAGAATTGATGCATTTGAGTTATGGTGTTGGAGGAGAATATTAAAAGTACCATGGACTTTCAACAGAACAAACAGATCTGTGTTGGAAGAAGTACAGCTAGAGTGCTCCTTGGAGGTCAGGATGGCCAGACTTTGTCTCTTATACTTCAGACATGTTGTCAGGAGGGACCAGTCACTAGAGAAGGATATCATGTTTATTAAAGTGGAGGGTCAGTGAAAGAGAGGAAGACCCCCAGCACGATGGATTGGCACAGTGGCAGAAGCGATGTGAGGTTGGCCCAGGACTGGGCAGTGTTTTGTTCTGTTATTCATAGAGTCGCTATGAGTTGGTATAGACTCGATGGCACCTAACAATAGCAATAATATTCTGGTACTTTTCATCATGTTTCAATATTCAGTATTCTGGTGCTACCTGGCAGCGCTTCACTGCTATTCATAAAGTTTTCATTAGCTAAACATTCAGAAGTAGTTCATTTCTTTTTCTTCCTATTCTGTCTTAGTCTGGAAGTCAGCTGAAACCTGTCCACCATGGGTGTCCGTCCTGGTGTTTAAAATACCAGTGGCATAGCTTCCAGCATCATAGCAACATGCAAGCCACCACAGTACAGCAAACTGACAGTGAGTGGTACAGTCCGACTCACAGTGACCCTCAATAGGGTTTCCGTGGCTTTAAATTTTAGTGGGAGCAGAAGGCCTCATCTTTCTCCTGTGGACAACTCATGAATTTGAACTGCCAATCTTGAGGTAGCAGTTCAATGCTTATCCTATGTTGCCATTTATATACATTTAAGAGTATATAGGGAGTCCTGGTGTGGCGCTGTGGGTTAATGTGCCAGTCTGCAAAGCTGTTTGAACTGCAAGTTTGGCGGTTTAAGCTCACCAGCTGCTCCTTAGAAACCCTATACAGGGTCGCTATGAGTGGGAAAGGACGGCACTTAACAACAACAACATGAGTATATATCTGTATTAAAATTTTCTAGAAGGACATCCAGGAAACTGTTAACTTTAGATACCTTGGAATCTTTAGATAAAGAGATTGTAGGTTGTAAGGAATAAGAAAGAAAGAGACAAGGAGAGTCTTGGCTTCAACAGCAGGCAGGTTTATTTAGAGTAAACCTGGAAGGGGTACTACTCTAAGTCACCAAAGGAGACCAAGAGCCTATCTGTTTTCTTATAGAGGAGGGTATTTACGGAAGTGTGGTCCCCATACAGTTCTGGAGAGTTTACAATGGGCGGGGTTATAGAGATTTTCCTGAAACCTGGAATTACGGGGGTGGGGTGTTAGGGGATGGGGGGCGGAGGGAGGGTGGAAGAGGGGTGTCTCTTGGTGTAATAAAGACTTAAGCTTTCGGGGACTGGAAGCTCAAACAGGCAGGACTTTATTCAGCGTCACTTGGTGTAGCTGCAATCCCATTTTGTTGATCTTACTTCACAGGTAATGTAAGACACATAGGTTTTCAATTTATACCTTTTGGGCTGTTCGATCTTTTGTAATTTGGAAATGTTGTTGTTAGGTATTTTCAAGTCTATTTTGACTCATCATGACCCCATGTGACAAAACGGAATGGACTCATTAGGTTTTCGAAGCTGTAATCTTTATGGACAAAGTTCTTCCGGTCTCCCTTCCACAGAGTGGCTGGTTAGCAGTCAAGTACTTAACTGTCAAGTATCTAGCTATACTCCTTAATTTGGGTGTGCACTTTCTTAAATGTTTAGTAGAGGTGATCTGAGAAGCACTGGCAGGATAAACAGTTAAGCACTCAACTGCTAACTGTAAGTTTGGTGGTTTGAATTCACCCAGCGGCTCTGTGGAAGAAGGACCAGGTTTTCTGCTTCCACAAAAATGAAGCCAAGAAAACCTTATGGAGCAGTTTTGCCCTGCCACATGGAAATCAACTTAATGGTATCCAACAACAGAGGTTATCTGTGTGGTAAGGGTTATGGGCCATTTAAATTTCTTGTTTTATGAATTTCTGTACTAGAAATAACTAATAAATATTATTTGCGAAAGTTATTGTACCCAGAAAGAGAGTCATCTCTAAGGTTCCTTTGTTAAAATGTTGTGGTTGTTTTGTGAGGTAACCTTATATGACAACTAGAAGTGCCCCATAGGGGTCTCCTAATCTTTACAGGAGTAGATGTGACCAGATCTACCACCCTCTGGAGCTGCTGGTGGGTTCAAACTGCCGACCTTTCTGTTAGTAGCCAAGCGTTTACCCATTGTACCACTGGGACTCCTATTGGCACCAAGATCTGTGCTTTACAGAGACTCAGCTACTTCCTTTCCTTGTCTCTTCTCGTTGTCAGAGATTGAGAGCGGGCAGCTAGGGAGCCATAGTTATGTTGTTTATTCTGGGAAGAAAGATAATTTCTTTCTTTAGATTATTTAAAAAAAAAAAAAAAAAATCCATGATCACCGCAAAGTCAAGAACCAGTTTTAGAGGGAATTTCTGAATTAGGTGGAATTTGAATAATGAGACCATGTTTACCTCTAAAAGTCTGTATTTTGTTTACATACCACACACATACACACAGACAGACATTCAAGAGGCATTTGCCTCTTGATATTCTCTGACCTGCTGACCGGCGTATTTCTGTATTTTCCAGCTGTTGCTCCTACGTTGGACGCCGAGGAGGAGGTCCACAGGCCATATCCATTGGGAAAAATTGCGACAAGTTTGGAATTGTGGTTCACGAGCTGGGCCATGTGGTTGGGTTCTGGCATGAACACACCCGACCGGACAGAGACCAACATGTCACTATCATCAGAGAAAACATCCAGCCAGGTAAGGAGTCTGTGTGGAGTCGAAGCCAGGATGGTGGTCTCCACAGGGTCAGCAGAGAGTGGTGGAGAGGGGCTGCAGGGAGCAGGCCCTTCTGATGCACTAGGTCTGGAGGCAACAACTCTTCTATGCAGATACTTGTCACCAGCACAGCCCTTCATGGAGACCTTCTGCTATAGCTTGTAGGTGAGTTGTTGTTGTTAAGTGCCGTCGTGTCAGTTCCGACTCATAGTGATCCTATATAGGGGTTCTGAGGAGCAGCTGGTGAGTTTGAACTGCCAACCTTGTGGTTCAAACTGACCTTATGGTCCAGTGATTATCCTACAGTGTCACATCTGGTTGTAGGTTAGATCAGGATCAAAAATTTTTTCCATGTTGTGGAGTCCTGGTGTGGTGATATGGGTTAATGCACTGGGCTACAATGTCGGTTTGGACCGCTAGGTCAGCAGTTCAAGCTTACCAGCCGCTCCTTGGAAACCCTATACAGAGTCACTATGGGTCAGAACCAACTTGATGGCACTTAACAACAACAAAGAGGACAATGAAATCTAATTCCATATCCTAAAAGGAACAGAACCAACCCAAACACAATTGTAGCATCAAAGCTGATAGGTCAAACAAAGAGATCTCCTGGTAGATTTTGAGTTGCTTTTCCTGAGTCAGGTAGCGCATCTTTCTGAAACTGAAATCCAATTAGGATCTATGTACATGTAAAGACCAGGAGCCCTGGGAGCGTAATGAATTACAAACTGGGCTGCTAACTGAAAGGTCAGTAGTTTAAATCTACCAGTAGCTCTGAGGGAGCAAGATGAGGCTTTCTGCTCCCATAAAGATGTATAGCCTTAGAAACTCTATACAGGGTCACTGTGAGTTTTGAAACCAGCTGGAAGGCACACAAGCACCAACTACCACATGTAAAGACAATACTTCTCAGTAGAAACAAAACATGTTCCCCCAATGCAGATAAAGTGTATAGATTTTTTAAAAAAAAGCCTGTCATGTCAAATTATTATTATTTATAATTATATTTGTATTTTACATATTTAGATATATAAAGATCTTTATATTTATGCATAAATTATTTTCACATTGATCATTAATAATACGGTTGCCTTACAATGCTTATGAGAGTTTTAATTGTGAACTTTAGGATCTAACTTGATTCCGATTCATTTTTTTTTTCCTCCAATTTTCCACTGTAGTATTAATACTTATTTATTTTTATTTTGAGCAAGCTGGTCAATATCCAATATGGCTACAAACAATTTAAGTATTTCATATGAGAATTGGGGAGGCTCGTTGTGTGGTGGGGTTGGGAGAATATAGGGCTTGCTCTTAAGTTTCAAGTTTTTAATCTATTCAAACCGCCAACACCAAATGCAAACCATTATTTGATTGATTGGATTAGTGGAGATCTCAGAAGTTGCTATGGGCCCTCCTTCTCCCTCCTCTGCCTCCTTCAGGTGCCCGCATTGGTTTTCAAAGGACTTAACAGAATGTTGTGTCATAGGTCAAGAGTATAATTTCTTAAAAATGGAACCTGGGGAAGTCAGCTCTCTGGGAGAGATGTACGACTTTGACAGCATCATGCACTACGCCCGGAACACCTTCTCAAGGTCGGAATCTTTGGCTATGCCTCATCTGTGTTTTACTGTGCCTGCCGCAGGCTTGGGTTGGATTCCTGGAGGTTTGTGGAGAGTGAGTCTCTGCATGCTTCTAGCACGGCTGGCATGTCTGTCCTTGAAATACAGTGGCCTCTGGGCTGCAGTGAAATATAATCTAATCAGGTTCCCGCTAATAAGATTGAATCCCATTGTGAAGCCGGTGTTCCATCATGCCCTAATGTCACAAGCAGTAAACTGGAAAAGGGAAATTATTGAGAGGTCGGCTAGGATAATAACTAGAGCCCCTATGGAAAATCTCCAGTGGGTGAGGGGATCTTCTAAAGCATGTCCTTGATGTTTGCAAGGTGGAACTCACCACTTCTTCTAGGAAAATTTTTGTTGATTAGAAGCTAGACCACGTTAGGGAGTCCTGGTGTGATGCTGCTGGTGAATGCACTGAACTGCAAGGTTGGTGGTACAAGCTCACCAGCTGCTCCTTGAAAATCCTATATAGGGTAACTATGAGTCGAAACAGACTTGATGGCACTTAACAACAACAACAAGACCATGTTAGAATTGGAAAGGACTATAAACGACTGATTCATTTTAGAGGTGAAGAAAATGAAGCTCCAGAAAGCTTGAGCGTACACAGGTAGCTAAGGTTAGAAGATGGTAGCTGGTATACCCGAGTATGGCTGGGTCATTGTTTAGGGCTGATTTCAGCAGGGACTACTCCGGTAAGTTTGTGCTGCTCTGTGCCAGGTGTTAAGTATTTTCAATGCTGCCCCTTCTAGTGATGTTATTGTTGTTAAACACCATGGAGTCAGTTCCAACTCATAGTGACCCTATACAGATTTTCCAAGGAGTGGTGGGTTTGAACCACTGATGTTGCAGTTAGTAGTCCCATGCTTATCCTACAGCATCACACCAGGACTCCATGTAAGCAATATGTGTATGAAAAAATTCCTGCTATTCCCAGTTTTATAGGTCTTCCAACTCTTGAGTTAAACTAGAGACACACTACAAATAATTTCTCTCCTGGCACCTTCTTTTCAGTTGGCTCTTAAAACTCACTTGTGTGTGCATTCATTCATTCATTTCTTTTGTCATTCCAATAAGTAGATTTGAGGTAATACAATACACACACACTCACACACAAAAGCTGGGGTGATAAGGGTAGAAAAGCTAAGTTGAGGCCTAGAGTAAACAGTATTGATAAAAGATGTAAGGTCATGTACACTTCATTGATGTTGGCTGCAAAGTCTGTCCTGAGCTCACTAGCAGACACTGCAAAGGGGAAAACAAGCCACACCTATGAAGATTAAAGCAAACTTTGTTTAGGAGACACACAGTGAAAGGGGAACAATTTATTAAGGGTAAATTGGGTAAGGCTTACTTGGGTAAGGCTTTTGAAAGCATTCTGTCGATGAGACCATACAATTGTAGGAAAAATCATCCAAGCTTCAGCTTCCCAAGTTCTCAGACAGTTCTATTGCTCTGACCACACAGTTAATTTAATTATGATCTCTGTTCCAAACCTAGACAAAGTTTCTCCAGAGTTCCAATGGGTGGAGCTTTGTTGACATTGATATCTTTGAACAGCACTGTTCTGGCATGTGAATGAACCACCCTGGACTCTTTACTCTTGTCTTGGCTGTTTTTCAGAAAACACAAGGTGTAGTGTAGTATGATAAAGAGACCATTGGACTAAGAGCCAGAAGACTGGATTCTAGTCCTAGTTCTTTCATGAACTTTGCTATATAAGGGACAGTAATTAAGAGCATGGGTTCTGGAACCTGTCTCCTGGTTCAAAGTCTATTTCTGGTCCTTACCCTTTGTGTGATTTAGACAAATCTCTACCTCCCTGGGCCTTCTAGCCCCTTCCAGCTCTAACAATTCATGTTGCAATTTCTTGATCTGGTGCAGATGGGTGAGATGTTGACAGACATGATCTCATTCATTGCCCTACTGGAAATAGGAACTGGCAAGGCTTCCCTTTCCAGCTTGGGAAATTGAGACTTTGAGGGAATCGCTCCAGAAGGGTGTGTGCATAGGGGGAGTCTCAGGAAGCCAATAGAATAAACAGGATGTGAGCCCACCCTGCAGATGTCAGGGGTGGAAAGCTTGGATGTTGGGGCTGGGCTGACTCATGGGTTTGGGAAATGGTGAATGAAAGAGCACTACATCTCATCACATCATCCCCAGGAGCTGCAGGATGTTGAAAAGAGACAAAAACCAGATTTTTTAACAGGGAATCAATGTTAAGTTAGCTTAAGGGAGAAGCCTGCATCTTGGGGTCTGGTTTCTATCACTATTATAGCTCTTTGTATGGTTTGGTAATTGACCTATTGCTGTTCATTCTCTCTCACTAGATTGAGATCCTTGAGGGCAAGATTGTCTCATTGTCATTTAATCTCCAGCATCTAACACAGTGCCTGGCACATGTTGTTGTGAAGTGCCGTGGAGTGGGTTCCAACTCATAGCGACCCTGTATAGGGTTTCTGAGGTTCTTAAGCTGGTGAGCTTGAACTGCTGACCTTGTGGTTCAAACCAACCTTGAAGCCCAGCACATTAACCCGTAGGACTCCACACTAGGACTCCAGTTGCTAAGTCCCTACTATGTACCTAACACATACTAGGGATTTAGTCACTATTAGTTAATTGAATAAATTGATGAATGGATAAGTGAGGACGCTGCTCTGCAACAATGGGGAATAGGTGTGGGGGAAAGTCCTACTCCCCCCTCATTACTGGACTCCTGGCGTGGTGCTGTCAGGTCAGCCCCAGGCTGTGAACCACAAATTCAGCAGTTCAAATCCACCAGCTGCTCCTCGGATACTCTATACAGGGTCACTATGAGTTGAAACCAACTCGACAACATGTAACAACAACAACCCTAATGAGGGTTCTCATTATGCAGTTCTCACCACATACCCACACATGCATTGGTCACACCATTAAGGATAATCTATAAGTATCTGCCATGTAGAAAAATTTGGATAAATTAGTACTAATTGGGGCGTAGGAATTGTATTGCTTTCTTAGTGCCTACTGTCTGAAGCTCTGAAGACAGAGGCCAGGACAGGAACGAAGTACTTTCTAGCACTAACATATCTTTTCTTTAAAAAAAACAAAACAACTTTTTTTTTGTGATCTCGAGCTCATAATCCCACCCCTTGGGTCTCCTGGAAGAGAACCACTATTAGCAAGCATTGCCAATATGAATCATTTAATTAGACAGACCAGCAGAAATCCATAGGCCAAACCCATGAAGTTACACTTCCTCATCAGAAGCACCAGCATCACTAGGAGGGAGATTGGTAAAGGAGGGGTAATTTGAGGGATGGGCAACCATGGACAACTAAGAGTGGAGCAAGTTCATGGAAGACACTAAAGGTAGAAAGCCTTCCCCTTCTGCTACTATTATGTTATTTTCTATTGCTACAGAACAATTTCTCCCCAAACATAGTAGCTTCCAACAATAACATTACTTCATGATTACCTAGCTTCTTCTTAAGTCTCACCTGGAATCACTCATGTAGCTGCATTCATTTGATGGCTTAACTGGGCTGGGGTTGACCAGTTACATGTCTGGCAACTGGTGCTGCCTTTCTAATGGGGCCCTTTGGTTCTTCCATATATGACTTCTTATCCCACTAGGCTGGCCTGGAGTCTCAAAGTTCCCAGAGAGCAACTTGGGACTGGACAGACTTGTGTGTTTGGGAGCTACACCCCAATTAAACTTCAGCCCCCCCCCAAATACAGAGACCATCACTGCCACCACATTCTAGTGGTCTAAGCAAGCCACAAGGTCAACCCAGACTCAAACGAGTGGAGAAAAAGACTCCACTGCTTCATGGGTTGAGCAGCAACGTCTTTGGTTTCACCTGTAATCTGCAAAGGTATATGGGTAAAGTACTAGGAGCCTGGTAGCTAAACACTCAGCTAGTAATTGTAAGGTTGGTAGTTCAAACCTACTCAGCAGCTCCACAGGAGAATGACCTAGTAACTTAACTAGATTGTAACCTAGAAAACTCTATGAGGCAGTTCTACATTGTCACACGGGGTTGCTGTGAGTGGAAATCTACTTGGTGATACCTAGCAACAATAACAATTTATTAAAATCATCTATCACAGCTACCCTCTCAACCCTGCTTTGGAGTTCAGAATGGTTTTGACAAATCTTCCTTGTAACAGATATATGCGTGGTCTTTTCTACATAGATGTCCAGAAAACTGCTTTTTTCAGGGGGGCTTCTATCAGCGAAGTCCTTTCTGCAGGACTTTCCTGGCATTTTGTCAAAAGTTTCCCCATGCCCTAACTCCATGCCATTATTCCTGGTCTCATGCCCCTGAAGCTGGCCTGCACATTACCTATTATTATTAACAGAGCGTAAAATAGCCTATAGGACGTTTGCTTATCTGGGGAGTGAATGCCATTCCTGCTGATGGGAAATCCAGTCTTCATACTCTCCTGTCTTTACGATTGGGCTGTCTCCTTCCAACTTTATTCTCTCTAGTTTATTACAGTTCTTCTCCCTTTCCCCCTTTGTTGGGCCCAGCTTGTGGGGAGCGGTGTCTTTGGAGGTTTTGTTGGGCAAGCATCCAGGAGATGAAGAGACAATTCTCTGGTACAGGAACGTCTTTGTTTGGAAAACTCAGAGCTGACAGTTTTATTCCCTAAGGCATCTGCCAAACCAGTTCTTAGTTTAGCAGAATGTCAATGCTAAGAGTTGTCCTACATTAAAAGGGTACCATTATTATGGTGGTTTATACAGGGGATGTCTCTTGTAGTAAACATCTTCCAGAAACTACTGCCTTCCTGGCAGCTCCAGGGCACAGTGGCTTAGGAAGTTCTAGCACCAAAGAACTGTCTGAGTGTGAGCTAGTGGTCCGGCTGTTTTGGCTTTTTAAGTCTCCAGTTTTCTTAACTCTATCATGTATCTAACATGCTCATTCTTGGGCAGTGGGAGACACTGGCTTGAAGGAGGAAGGTGCCTGGAGGTGGGCCGTAGGCCAAGCTGGGGCCCACTACTGGTTCGCCATTACTAGCTTTGTAATCTGGGCAAACTTGGTTTTCTTACCATTGGAGTGGGAACTATAATAATAACGTCACTGACTTCCTAGGGTGTTATGTGGATTAAATGCCGTAAGACAGGTCAAGTGCCCACATAGGTAGTCTGCCACATAGGATGGTCTCATGTCCTCACTGATTTCCAACTCAAAACTATAACATCACTCTTGCTTGAGTTTCCAACCTGTTGGTCCAAATCACCTAGACTAATCCTTCAGTGTAAAACAAGGCTCAGAAAGGGAAAGGGACTTGTCCAAGTTCTGGTGGCATAACTAGGTCTTGTATTGAAATCTCTAGCCCAGGGCTCATTCTACTATCTCATATTCTATGTATTCAGTTTATTTTCCATCTGATTGACCCCACCCCTACCCCCTTGAAAGCATGATTCCCCAAACTCTGATCCTCATTATTCACCAATTCGTCTGCCAGCGCTTACCAGCCACTGAGCCTCTCACTGGTCCAGGCTCTTCTTGGGGCCTCTCTAAGACTCATCCGCAAACAGTACTGCTCATTGCACAATTCCAGGGGGCACACTCATACCACAGTGTCTCTGAATGGTGCTCCCTGCAGTTGTGCAATGCGGATGCCCTGGGAACCTGTCGCCTCAGTACACATCCTAACGAAGCTCTTAGGCCATTGGGGTAGGGTGTATTTTCAAACTTGGTAGAATCATTGTTCCATTGGAGAATGAGTAGGCAGCCAGTGAAATGTAATGTTGAAATGCAAGCACAAGTGAGGGAAATCACTTCAGTCATGCCAGCCTGGGGAGAGGCAGGCCTGGGGGTAGCAATGCTGATGGGCAAGGAAACAAAGCTGTAATTCCCAGCACAGACAGCCTGACAGCCTTGATTTTTCTTCCTCCTTTTTTTCTTTCGCGTTTTCTCCCTGCAGAGGAGTTTTCCTAGACACCATCCTCCCCCGTCGTGATGAAAACGGCATCAGGCCAGCTATTGGCCAACGCATGAGACTCAGCCAGGGAGACATAGCACAAGCCAAGAAGCTGTACAAATGCCCAGGTAACTCCAGATTATGAGAATTCCTGTTACTACCCCAGCACCCCACAAATCCAATCAACTGCTATTTGCTAACATTTCCTCTCGGTGGGAAAATAGTTGGGGAAAACAGAAGAGAAATTGGCTGCTGCAATTTCTGGGGTGCTTCTGTTGGGAGTTGGTAGACAGTGTAGAAAGTCAGAATGGCAAAATATTTGCAGGGAGTGAAGTAATAGGTCTTGGAGCCCATGGTTTAATTTATAGGCATCTGTCAGAATTGTCTGGCAAAGCTCTGGTGTTCAGAAAAGGAAGAAGGCTTAGTGGGATAATAGTAAAAAGGGGGTCCAATGCAGGGTGGTCTTCATAAACACCTCTTCTTTCTCTGGAAACAGGGAATATATGTTTGGAGAAACAAGAACCAAGGGAGCTCAGGAAGGCAAAAAATGAGAGGAATGTTTTGGGGACTGTGGGAGTCATTGTCCCCAAAACTGGAAGGTGTAGGACGAGTGTTATAAATGAAGAGTTTCTATGGTCTTATGGTCTTGTGACTTTCATAGCCACTGAAGGTGCAGGACAGTGACCTGCCTTTGAAGAGTGGACAGTAGACTGGTGTTTCTGCCAGGTCAGAAGTCCATTCCTCTGGAATTTTCTCTTTACCCTCCATATCCTTGTCTTCAGCACCCTTACACCCACCACTGTCCTGGGAGTGAGGTCCTGTGGGCTCCTTTAAGCTGCTGAGTGTCAGCACAAAGCAATGGCTGCAGGAGTCACATGCTTACCACTGATGGGAGGGAATGCATTTCAGTGTCTTGGCCATGCAGTTCCATTACTGGTAGGTTCAATAATCTTTTTCCAACATGCAAACCAGACACATGATTTGATCGTGGGACAGAATAGGAGAAATGGAGCTATGTTAAAAAATCTGGACTGTTGCATTGTCTTACTAAGTAGGGTCACGGGACATGCAAAGGGCCATCTGAGACTTGTACCATCATGAGTCTCTAGGAAATATGTCCATCTCGTTATTAAACATCTGGGGGTATGCCAGGGCTGTGGTATGGGACACACGTATCATATAACCTTACTGAATTGAAAGAGAAAACCTAGGGCATTCCCTGAGAAATGTCATCCTATTTATTTATTTATGTATAATGTATATGTCGCTTGCTTTTCCCGAGGATCTGAGGCAGCTGGCAAACACCATGCAGCCACACAGTAATGTATCTGTTCTTGCAGAATGTGAATGATTACAGTAAAATAATTTCCATGGACCCCTTGGGGGGTGTTGGCTGCTGGGTGTAATCCTCATGATGCCTGGCAGTTGTTGGGTAACATGATATTGGAGCCCCAGTATCCAGGATTTCCAGATGGCCCGTCCTGAAGTTCCAGAAAACACAGCCCTTCAAGGAGTTTTAAGTAGTAACTGTAGGCGAGGGCAGTGGTCATGCAGAGGGTGAATTGCAGGGAGAAAATGATGCTGGGCTCCTGGGCCTTAGTGTGGTCTCATGCCACAAGGGCATTCACTTAGCAAGCCCATGTCTTTGTCTTTGAGGTCTGAACCCCTGAGGTCAGAGGAATTAATACAAAACTTGTAACTTCCAAGTACCCATAACCACCAACCAGTTGCCAATGAATCAGTTGACTCACGGCAGCACCCATGTATGTCAGAGTAGAGTTGTTCTCCATTGGATATTCAATGGCAGACTTTTCTTTGGGGGCACCTCTGGGTGGACTCAAACCATCAACCTTTTGATAGGTAGCTGGAGGTGCTACCCAGGGACTCCCCAAGTACACCCACTCCTCACTTAATCCACGTGGTTCTATTCCCAAAACCTGTCATGATGCAAAAATTGGCATATGTGAAAATGGAAGGCAACCATATCAGATTACAAAATAAAAGATGACCACGTCATAATATAATTGCCACATTACATCGTTATATAACTACCAAAAATCACATTATTACATAAATCACATTATTACACAATTCACATCATGCATAGCTGCCCAAGCCTGGAACATCATGGCCCAGCCAAGCTGACACATAACCATCACAGGCAGCGTGACTCTTGTCTAGCACCTTCCTTAGCATACATTGCTGCCAGATGCATATTGTAATGTGCAAAACAATAGAATCAAAGATTTTTTTACCATTGTCATAAATGCGAAATGTCAAATAATAAGATAGTCAATTAATGAGGAGTAGATACATTCATATTGGCACCTTTTTTAAGGACAAGTTACGGGAAATATTTTTCATATACATCAAGACTGGGTTTTACACTCATAACTTGGCTACACTCAAACATCCAATGATAGATGAGCCTACCAGTAAAACAACCCAGTTTTCCATGCCTTTTTTCTCTGTCTTTTTGACTATGTGGTAGACCTTTCAGTGGAAGATAGTAGAAAGAAGAGGCAAGACTCAAACTAAGAGCCTTTCCAAAGCGATTTTTAAAACTCTTTCAGCTTTACCTACTTATACTTTCATATTCTCTGCTACAGATATAATAGTGGTAATTAAGGAGCTCTGGTAGCGTAGCAGTTACGAATCGGGCTGCAAACCGCAAGGTCAGCAGTTCGAAACTACAGCTGTTCCACGGGAGAAAGAGGAGGCTTTCTGCTCCCGTAAAGATTTACAGCCTTGGAAACCCTGTACAGGGTCGCTATGAGTCAGAACCGACTCCATGACACATAACAACAACTTAATGGCAATTATGTAGTGCTCACTATGTGCCAAGCTCGTAGCTGACCCATTTCACCTAATGCAGATAATTTCAATAACCCTCCGATGTAGGTTTCTAGCCATTACATATAATTAGAAACTAAGGCCAGAAAGGCTGGGACATTTGTCCAGAGCCACACAGCCTGCTGGAGAGGTGAAATAGACACCCGGCTCCAGGTCACACTCAGGCCCAGAAAGTCTCAGAAAAACCCTGGACATGTTACTTTTTCGCGTCAGCCAGAAAAAAAAAAAAAGTAATTCTGCCTGGCGGGTTTCTTGCCTCCAGGATCTCAGGGCCTTGGCTTGTAAGGGCTGTGTTTGCTCACCTGCCACTGCACAGGAAGGTGCGGACGGACGCGGGAGCGTGTACGCAGGTCAGAATCACAGTGGTTGTTTTGCTTGTGCAGCGTGTGGAGAGACCTTGCAGAGCAGCACAGGGAACTTCTCCGCACCCGGTTTCCCAAATGGCTACCCTTCTTACTCCCACTGCGTCTGGAGGATATCTGTGACTCCAGGGGAAAAGGTATGTGTGAACCTCTCGGGGATAACCTAGTGTTCTTTGAATTGGGTCGAGGCTTGTGGCATTATTATTATTATTATTCACAATCACAACAGCTTTTATTTTATGAGCACCAATATGTGCTGTCTGCGGTGCTAAGTGTTTTATGTTATAATCATATTTGGGGAAAAAAAACACTTTTTATTGTGAATTGAGTGAAGGTTTACAGGGAAGATCATCGGTTTTATATTCGACAAATCATACATCTTAATTCTGCTGAATGATTGCAATCCCTTCCATGCAACAACAGTTATCTGGCTTCCTCCCCATGGTTCCTATTCCCATTCCACCCACTTACCCAACTTTATCCTTAGGAAAATGTTGCCCTTTTGATCGTGACTGACTGACCATCCCATGGTGAGCCTGCCTTACTTGTGTTGTTGTCTCCCTATTTATCTATCTACCGTGTGGCTGAAAATTGGACCATGAGGGTGAGTTCCTTTCCAGACTTAAAGTGTGGTTGAGGACCATAATCTCAGGTTCCTGCAGTGTCTTTCTGACCAGTAAGCCTCGTTTACTCTATCCAGGGTTTTCTAATGTGATCCCTTTCAGATCACTTGGTAGTAGAAGTCAGATACCATCTAGTTCTTCTGGTCTGAGAGACAATGCTAGATGTTTTACTTGGATTGTTTCCGAACTTCTCAACCGGTCTCACAAATGGAGGTCTTTATATTTACTACATGTTTAAATATTTGAAAGTTATAAGTCAAGTTAAAAGTCTATAAAATAAAGTCAACTCTATCTTTCTACCTTGATAAATACACCATCCTAATGGGAGCACTGGTGGTCCTGGACTGCTAACCACAAGGTCCGAAGTTCAAACTCACCAGCAGCTCTTTAGGAGAAAGATGAGGTTTTCTGCTCCAGTAATGATTTTGTTGTTGTTGTTAAGTGCCTTCGAGTCGGTTCCGACCCTTAGCGACCCTGTACAGGGTTTCCGAGGCTGTAAATCTTTACGGGAGCAGAAAGCCTCCTCTTTCTCCCTGGAGCAGCTGGTAGTTTCGAACTGCTGGCCTTAAGGTTCGCTGCCCGATTCGTAACCACTACGCTACAGCCTCACAAACCCTTGACATGGTCGCTATGAGTCAGAACTGACTCGACAGCACTTAACAACAACAAATGTTCTTGAAAAGAGTCATGGTGGCTCTGCAGGATAAACACTGGACTGCTAACAACAAAATTGGGGCTCAAACCTATCAGTGATTCTGCGGGGAAAAAGATGAGGCTGTTTACTTCTGCCACCCCTACATAGGGTCACTATGAATTGGGATTGATTCAGTGGCAGTGGGTGAATGTTCTGGAAAGGAGCTCTGGTGGTTAGAAACAACCAACAGTTTCATGGAAGAAACGACCTGGTGATCTGCTCCCTATAAATTGTTATTTTGTGCCAGGGATTTGATTAGGACCCATAACAACCCTATCGGACAGAACAGAATTGCCTCCCAGGCGTCCTAGGTTGTAATTTTTACAGAAGCAAACTGTGAAGTCTTTTTCCTGGCAGAGTGGCTGGTGGGATCGAACTGTCGACTTTTCGGTTAGTATTGGAGCACTTAAAGTTGTATCACCTCAGCTTAGGAAGCTCTATGGAGCAATTCTATTCTGTCATATAGGGTCGCTGTGAGTCCGAATGCTGCTCTGCAAGTGGAATATGGGGAGAAATAGTGCCCAACCCACAGCCAGACGCTCCTTCTCCCCCCACCCTGACTCCACCTCAGCCCCAGAGGTCTCGGCAGCACCCATGCACATCCTCCCTCACACCATGCATTCTGGTTCAGAGGAACACTCTTGGTGCCCGCTGGCAGTATAGACTCCCCTGGGGAGGAAGGATCTGGGGAAGAGGCCATTTCACACTTTGTGATCTGGCTCTGGGCTGTTTGGAATGTGGACTTAAGTGTGGTCCTCGCTATCTGGAATGTGGCCTACAGGGGGGTGCCAGGAGCTCGGGATGGGTATGTTCTTTTGGCCCTGCAGAGTCTATGAATCTCTAAAGTGGAGTCCAGGGCATAGACTCTTGCCTTTATCCAATTGTTGTGTTGCCTTTGATCCTATTGGATGATGCATAGTCTGGTATCCATTTTATGGATGAAGAATTTGAGACTCATTTTTAAGAAAATTGCCCAAATTCATAAAGCTAGTAGGATATAGAACTGGGACCTGGATTCAGGACTTCTAGACTCAAAAGACATAAAAGATGTCTTTCTTTTTAAATCTACATACAAATTCAAGTGTTCTTTGAGTGGTCCTAGCTTAAATTAAACTGTCTTTGAGAAAGGCTTTCTGTCCCCAGGTAAGGGGACTCGGCCTGTGTTCACATGGCCCTTCCTATCACAGTGTGTCTCACAGAATTGTGCCCCTGGGTTTACTTGACTGCTCTCCTGCTAAACCCAACACAATCTGTGGCACAAAGTTGTCATACAATAAGTGTTTGTTGAATGAATGTCTGAAAAGCCTACAGCTTGGGTAGGGATGATTGGAATTTTTTTTTTAAGCACTAGTAGTGAACCTTCAGGTATTCCAGATTTAGAAGTTCTTAATAAAAATGCCAATGTAAATGTCAAGTTAAGCATAATGGGCTACCTGGAAAGAAATATTGGCTAGATATCCTTGCGATCCTTTTCTATGGGCTGGGGACTGTTCTCAGCATACTTCACAGGTCATTTTATTTAATCCTCACAATGTCTTATGGCGGTGATATAATCGTGTTCATTTTACGTGTAAGGAGGTGGACTTGCCCAAATCTACTCAATTCGGCTGTTGCAGAGTTGGATTCAAGCAGTTTGAGTCTTCAGATCCAGGATGCTGACCCGTATCTTATATTATTTCGCAAGTGAGATGAGCCAGTAGATACTGAAGCATGCATTTACACATACACATACACACACCCTTCCTTTGACTCTAATTCTTTAAGACAGCGTGGTTGTCATTTTGAGCCTGAGAGACTTCAGACCTGTCTGATTGGATGGATGCTGTCCCTGTGGCTGCTGTGGACACTAAAGAGAGGGACGCAGGAAAGAGGAGGAATAAAAAGAAAGGGTCAGGCAATCCTCAAATTGCTGAACTGCCCTGCACAGGGGAGGCTATGTGATATCCTTGAACTGTATAAGATTCACCAAGCCTTAATTATTAGTGTTAACTGGGGGCACAGAGAATACGCATCATTGAAATTCCTGCACCAATTATTCCAATTTCTGCTTCACCCAGCTTTCCCCAGAGCTGCTGGTAATTAGCAACCCTGATTGATTCAAGCGGCACCTCTTGTTCATCACCTCTCCCCCTATGGTCTTCATGGTTCACTAGCATGCTTAAAACAATTAGCATGAATAATTATCCTGTTCATTCGGATCATGAATGTGTTACCAAGGATGCTCTAATAACATTTTCTTTCTATAATTTTTAAAGCAAAGGCTAAAGAATTATATTGCATTCAGCTGACAAGTCTTACTGAGCTCTTCAGATGGAATTTGTTTTTCATACCCTTCCCCCATAGCGCTTGATGGGGAGAGGTATGCAAAGGACATCGAGGGTACAGTCCCTGTCTTCAAGAGACTTAGAGTCTAGTTTTTTTCTTCTCCTCCACACCTAGGGAGTCTGATTGAATTGAAGGAGGGACATTAGCTGGGCACCATATTTTGTTCAAAGCTTCCAAGTGATTCTAATGTGCAAGCAGGGCTGAGAATCACTGATCTAGTGTGAAAGAAAAGAGTGACACACACACACTATACACATACACAAAGACACAGCAATCTAGAAAGGATGCTGAAGGTCTTTGAGACTGGGGTGGAGAGGAGGAACACAAAATATCTTACAGGGAAAAAATCTGTCAGAATGAATGCTGAGGAGATTTGAGGGCAAGACAGACAATCTTGCAAAGTAGAGATGGCACCAAGGTTTTGCAGCTGGGTGATAGGGTTGATGGTGTCTCCTACAGAAGGCAGTTGGAAGGGAGGTATTTTGTTTTGAGGTGCACATCCAGCTAGTGGGACATGGAGCGAACAGGGCCAGCCAGAGAGAGAGACCGGTAGTGAGACCATGGGCTCTTGTAGTGAAAACTCAGAAGGGGAGACAGAAGGGCCACAGAAGCCAGAGACTGAGGTCAAATAACAAATGCTTAGATTTGGCTGTACCAGCCTTGGCCCCTTTGACTTGCATCCCACCCAGCCTAAAAGTTTACTTAGAAAAAGAGGAACATTGACTGGGACTGTTTGAATATCAGGGACTATAAAGAAGTTTGTAGGAACATTCTGTTCTCTTTTTGTTGTGAATTGGGTGAAGATTTATAGAGCAAACCTGTTTTCCATTCAGTAATTCATGCACATTTTGTTTCATCTCATTGACTGCAATCCCCACAAACTTTGTTGACCTCCCCTCGTTGTTGATTACTTCCCCTTCACCCAAGGGAACGTCTAGTTAACATTTTTCTCTCCCTTCTCTCATCCCTGGTAAGCATCCAATAATATTCCTTTTAGTGTGAAACTCTCTTGACTTTTTATAACAGTGGTCTTATACAATGTTTGTCCTTTTGTGATCGACATATTTCACTCAGCATAATGTTCTCCAGGTTCATCCACATTGTGAAGTGTTTTGCAGATTCGTCATTTTTCTTTAATGTTGCGTAATATTCCAATGTGTGTATGTATCATAGTTTGTTTCTCTGCTGTTCCATTAATGAGCACTGGAAAAAAAAATCCATTTTTCCATGAACTTTTTGAAGGCCCAGTATGAAAGAAAGAGCCCCATGGAGGGGGAGAGAGTGAGATGAGGGAAAGAGAGGATCTGGCTGAGAGAAAGGTTTGCTTGGAGCTGGAAAAAGAAAGCCCAAGGGTTCAGGGGCTGGGGCAGAGCAAGGACCCTGGATAGCAAGATGGCAAGAAATGATATGTTAAGTATGTTGTTGTTGTTAGGGGCCATCGAGTCGGTACTGACCCATAGCGACCTTATGCACAGCAGAACGAAACACTGCCCGATCCTGGGCCAACCTCACAATTGTTTCTAAACCTGAACCCATCTTTCCACCACTGTGCCAATCCATCTTGTTGTGGGGGTCTTCCTCTTTTTCTCTGACCCTCCACCTTACCAAACATGAGATCCTTCTCCAGTGACTGGTCCTTCCTGACAATACGTCTGAAGTATGAGAGATGAAGTTTAGGCAGAGGGTAAATTTGGGATTGGGTCTGGACACTCCAGCATGGTGGAACCTGAGTGGAAAATGATGTGTGAGGAGAAAATCCTGACTGCTGCTCTGGGCAGTCTGCCAGGGGGGCCCCAAGCTGGTAGGGTTGCAGTGGGAGCAGGGTCAGGCCATTGGTGTCAACAGCTATTCTCCCAGGCCACCCAGCCCCTTCTGCTAAGTACTTAACCTAACTGAAACCTTTCTTCTCAGCTTGTCTGATCTCCCTGCCTGCCAGCCTTTGCTCAGTCTCCCTGCCCTTTCTGTTTCCTCATTCCTGTCACACACAGTGACCCACTCCAGCTCTGTAGTGTTGTTAGTAGCTACTCCCGAACTCCTGGTCAAAATGCTACCCAGTCCTGCGCCATACCCACAATCAGTTATGAATTGGACAGTGTGGTCCATGGGGTTTTCCTTGGCTGATTTCGGGAAATTGATCACCAAGCCTTTCTTCTTAGTCTTAGCTTTAGTCTGGAAGCGCTGCTGAAACCTGTTCAGCATAGTAGCATCCTACAAGCCTCCACTAACAGATGAGGGTGACTGCCCGGAGATGTACTGGGGAGGAATTGAACCTAGATTTCCCACGCGGAAGGTGAGATTCTGCCGCAGAACCATCATTGCCCCCGTGGGCCTACAGTATGTTCCCCAAACACCTCCTTCATTGTACTCACCCCTCTTTCTGAATTACTCTCTCTCACTGAGCTACCGCCCCCCCCTAGGCCACCAGTTTAGGGAGTTTTCTCCAGTACCGCCAGGCAGAATTTATTTATCCCTCCTTGGAGTTGCCAAAATTCTCTTTCTCACCATTTTTCCTTTTTAGCAGTTATACCATAGTGTTCTAATTAGACTGATGCATCCGCCTTTCCTGTTGTTCTCTGAGCTCCCTGCAGACACAAAACCTGTCTTATGGACCTTCCCATGTCAACTGGCCAGTGGACTGACACACTGCAGGTGGTCAGTAAATGGGGATGGAATGAATGAACGAATGAATGAGTGGATGAACAGTAGGAACACTACTTACTAGACGCCCAGCCTCAGAAGAGGACGGTCATGACTGGGAAGACATTGAGCATGGGGGCACTCAGCTGCACCCTGGACCCTTTGGAATGATTGATGATGTTATAAGATCTCTCTGTATCTCTGAACTTCATCAACTCCTTACCTCCTTGCAAATCTCAGTCTCCGTGCATCCCAGCCAGTCTTCTTAAATGCATCTTGCTTTCTGTAAACCATTTAGTAACTTCAAAAGCTCAAATGATTCCCCAGACAGAGCCAAAGGACCCATCCCCTTCTGTTCAGTCCCCATCCTGCTTAAGGTTTATTATTTAATGTCACGGAGCATCCTGTGAGTGTATTTTCAAGAGAACACTCTTACAACCATCTGACAACTCTGTATGCTAAAGGGTAACGTGAGAACGCCAAGGGTTCAAGAAGTGTCTTTCCAAACTCACTTTATGATCATTCTTTACAGATCATCCTAAACTTCACATCCATGGATTTGTTTAAAAGTCGCCTGTGTTGGTACGATTACGTGGAAGTCCGGGATGGTTATTGGAGAAAAGCCCCTCTCTTGGGTGAGTTGCTGTTAGAAAGCTTTAAGAAACATCCTGATGTTAATATTGGGGAAGGTCTACCCTGATGGCAGCTCAGGAAGCTCTCAAGAGTATGCGATATTGTAAAACGCTGAACACTCCATTTGGCCACACATGTTAAAAGCTTTTAAAACTGTGAATACCCTTTGACCCAACAATTCCTCTTCTTGGAATCTATCCTAGGGAACTAATTAAGGAAGTGTGCAAAGCTTTAGCGACAGCCGTGCTCACCGAAGCAGGACAAATTGAAAACAATTTAAATGTTCTACAGGGGTGAGCTGAATGCATTATGATGCGTCTTTCCAATGGAAAACGATTCGTCTATTAAAAATAAAGTTGGAAAAAAATTTTAGAGGTGGTTGTTGAGTCGATTCCTACTCACAGCGACCCTATGGACAGCAGAAGGAAACACTGCCTTCCTAATGTCTGTTTGAACCCACTGGGGCAGCCACTGTGCCAATCCATCTCATTAAGGGCCTTTCTCTTTTTCGCTAACATTCGACTTTACCAAGCATGTTAGAGGTGACTGGGTAGTAATACAAAAATGTGGTCATTGTTCATGGTTAAATGAACAGTATGGTACAAAGTGGGATCGATAATAGGATTCCATTTTGATGAAACATATTTATATGTACATTGTGTAGGCATTGCAAACTCAGATGCCTTCAGGGATAAAGCATACATGAATAAAATAGAGTTGATATAATATGATAAGAAATGGTGGAAATGTGGCAAACTATAGAGCAAATATCCTGTCACTTCCAGCAAAATTATTTAAAGCATTGTGCTGGCTAAATTTAACAGGAAGATACACATTTTGTGTTCCTAATATAATACACCATGAATAAAAATTAAAATGCACAGCAGTCATTGTAGGATGACAGGGTATGTTTCTTAGGAAGTTTTCTGCTGTTAGTTCCCGGTTTAGCTATATTTTCTACAATGAGCAAGTATTGGTTTGGAAAACACAGTGCATGAACTCATCATGAAAAGGTCATTGGGACCTGAGTGTAAGGGATGGGGAAGTGAGTGTAAAGAGAAAGGTTAGCTCACTCATGAATGTCCAAGGAAGATGAGCCCCAATGTCTTCGGGGTCCTGGGAGTCAACATTGGGACTCTTCCAGCCTAGGCAGTCATGGTTGAAAGTTTGCAAAGAGCCGCTAGAAGGGTCTTAGCTGAGAGTGGGTTGTCCTCATTCCTAGAGTGGTCTGTAGAATGGGGTCCCAGGTGGGACAAGGCTAAGCTCTCAGCAAGGGCTTTGTAAGAGGGCCAACCTGGAGGGTTCCACTCTCAAGTATTTTTGAGGGGGTTTCAAAAAGTTTGTGGAAAATGGAACTAAAAGATAATGGAGTTTTTCCAAGAACTTTTGGAATGTTGTAAGAATGAGATAGGTCAGAAGAGACTGGAACATGGGTCTGGCAGATACTGGAATTCTGTGTGGCCAAGGGTTACCAGCCAGGTTAGCTGCCCTTGAGAACAGTACATGAGACCCTTAATCCATGAGTTCAAATTCATGGAGGACCACGAGGAAGGCGCTCTTCAGACTTGGAGAGTACCTGGGGAAGGCTCTGAGTGGGGACGCTGATTGTCAACTTTAGGAGGAGTCATTCAGATGGTGAGCAGTCCAGCTAGGCAGGCAAACCAAGAAGGTAGCCTTGAGTGAATACTCTGCAAGACAATGACAGCGTGGAAGCTGTTGGCCCTGGGTCTCTGTTGTCTGTCTAATATGAGCAGCTAGCTAGCTAGCAGCTAGAGGGAGGCATGCTTTTCAGGAAGTGTTGATTGAGTGTAGCAAAGAAACCAAAATCATTGACTAAGTTGATTCTGACTCCCGGCAACCCTCTATTTGTCAGAGCAGAACTGTACTCATTGGCTGACTTTTCCGAAGTACATTGCTATGTCTTTCTTCCAAGGGACCACTGCTGGTGGTGGTGCTTATGTGCTGTGGGGTCAGTTCCGACTCACAGCGACCCTGCATTGGGTTTCTGAGATTGGAAATCTTTATGGGAGCAGAAAGCGTCATCTTTCTCCTGTGGAATGACTGGTAGTTTCAAACTGCTGTCCTTGAGGTTAGCAGCCCGACTCGTGACCACTATGCTACCAGAGTTCCTGTTAGCAGCCTCTGAGTGCATGGACTGTCTGCATCACCAGGGACTCCCAGCTGTATGACCAGTGGCAGAGGTTCCTGAGCCTGGCTGAACGCCAGAATCGCCTGCATGATTTCTATGAATGCAGATTCCTGGGAGACTACTGAATCAGAATTGCCAGGTGGGCCAGGGAATGATCCTATGTACCTCTAACAACCTGTGCCCGGGTACCTGTCTGGCCTTGAATTCGTAGGAAGTCCATTGAAAGGGTGCCCATCAACTGCTGAAGGTGGCCACCCCTCAGAGAGGAAGTAGGGAGATGAGGGTGGGAAGAGTCATGTCGGCTGTACATAACTCTGTATTCTTTGAATATTCCACAAGAATGCATTCAGGAATTATAATGAATAAAAAAGGAAATTAAAGTTGTTGTATATAAGGAGTTTCATGGAAACATTGGAATCCAAACCTGGTAGAGACCTTGTTGTTACCACGTGCCCAAGCCATTCAGACTTGTAGTGACCCCATGTGACAGGGTAGGACTTCTTCATAGAGATTTCCAGTCTGTGATCTTTATGGAAGCAAATTACCAAGTCTTTCTCCTATGGAGCCACTGGCTGGGTTAGAACCACTAACCTTTCAGTCGACAGCCAAGCGCTTAACCATTGTGTCACCTAATCCCACACCTTTGTGAGAAACCCAAACTACCAAAATGTGGAACAACTTCGTAAGGTCACACTGCCAGGTAGTGAGTGGGATCTGAGCAGAACACAAACCTCCTGGTGACCAAGTGAGGGGGTTGCTGAATGAGACTCTGAAGACCCTAACCCCCAAGGTTGTCAGAGAAAATACGTTGTCCAGGGTGTCTCTGAAATGAAAATTTAACTAGGCTTCCTATATTTTTGTTCATGAGATCTGGAAACCTTATATCCCCCACGGAATGTGATAGATTTACAATGCTCAGGAGGAGGAAGCTCTTGGTTATTGAAGTTCCCCAGAGAGGGCCAAGGCACGTTCCTGAGAATGGGCACAAGCTTAGACATTTCCAGGACATCGTTCCTTTCTCCTCAAACGGAAGCAAAATTTCTGTCACTACAGATCCTGGGGTCTTAGGTCACACTTTCAGTAATTAAAAGGTTGGGTTTGTACTGGTTATAGGTGTTGGTTTTAGTGGGGTGTTTTTGACTCATGCTTTGCACTTTTATCCTGTGTGTATGTGAGAGTGTGTATGTATGTGTGTGTTGAGTGTGCTGCAGCCAAGGCATGGCCCATTGCCTGTAACCGTCACTCTTCATTTGCAAGAGCTCTCCTTTGCCAACTATTTGGCCTGCTCTGATGTTTCCAAATGCAGTTGTTAGTGAACTTTTGTGTTTGGAGCAAGTGCATTGTGTGGATAGAGCTGGTCCCTGGGAGGGGTCAGTGCCATGAAATCTGCTGGGAGGAGGCAGGTCAATGCCCCTTTGGCAGGAGGCAGAGCGGATTAGGGCAGATTGTGAAAGTATGCATCGTGCTCTGAAAAACTGTGCATCGCATATTTTCCCAGGGCAGTGTGTGAAAATCCAGGCATAATGGACGCATAACTTTTTATGAATGAACCCTTTATGACTCCCCACGGAGCCCACTTGTAGTGGCCTCATCTGCATTTCCTCTTCTTGATATCCTTATTAAACTCCTCCTCTAAACCCAGGAACCAGATCGCAATTTAGGAATTTGACACCTCTTCTCCTGTGGAGTTTCTCTCCAACCTTAGAGGCTCCTTGGAAGGAGGCAGTTGGGGACCAGGGTTTTCACGTAACTCTGAGAGGGAAATGTACGTTGACTGAGAACATTTCATGGCTGGTTAAGGATTCCAAATTGGTTTTTCAGTTTCAGAGGTCACTTAGGATATTGCAGCTAGAGTGAGGAGGAAGGTGGCTTTGGAGAGAATTCATCCAATAAACTTAAACACTGTTCTGCACATTGGACTCCCATCCCTTAGTTCTGCCAGAGAAATTACTCCAACAATGCACTTTTGTATGCAGAACTGTCTTCTGGGCAATCTGTACCACCACAATGCTTACAAAAGCCCTTTTCCCCCCTTTCCCTGAAGTGGAGAGAGAAGTTCAGAAAGGCCAGACTGGCCAATCAGTGCTGCCTGGCCCCACTGCTGGGGGTCCCTGGGCAGGGGCAGCCACCCAAACGAGCAGAAATGATGTAGTGAGCTGGACAGCTGAGCCTGGCTTTTCTGTGGAGTTACTTTCTGCTTTGAGACTTTGATCTTCATTCCTATGTGTCTGTTTCCATACTGGGAAGTGGGAATGCAGTTTAAATTCCCAGAGAGCAGGTTTGATGTCTGTGTAATCAAAAGTGTATAATGAGCAGAATCTAAGTTCCTTTAGATGGTGGCGAAGGTGATAGTGAGGGAAATGATGTTACGTGCTGTCTAGTCGATTCCGACTCATAGTGACCCATATAGGGTATTTAAGGAGCAGCTGGTGACTTTAAACTACTGAACTTGTGGTTCAAACCGACCTTGCAATCGAGTGCTTATCCTACAGCGCTATACCAGGAGGTGATATTGATGATGAAAGTCAAGATCACAGACTTGTTATGTGCCGTTGAGTCAGTTCTGACTCATAGCCACCCTGTCTAGGATTTCCAAGGAGTGACTGGTGGGTTTGCCAGAGTTCAAATCCTGCTATCTCTTACAGCTTTTGTTGTTGCTGAGAATATACATAGTGGATGTGCACCAATTAGACAATTTCTTCATGTATAATTCAGTGACATTGATTCCATTCTTCAAGCGACATTGATTCTATTCTAACCCCCTCTTAGAGCTTTGAATTCTCTGATCCTTAGTTTTCTTATCTGTGAAATGGATTAATAATAGCCCCTAATTCAGAGAATCATGGGGATAATCCAAATACAGGTTTAGGATGGTGTCTGGCATGCAGTTGTTGTTGTATGCCCTCAAGTCAATTCCAACTCATAGTGACCCCACAGGCCAGAGTAGGGTTGTTATTGTTAAGTGCTGTAGAGTTGGTTCCAATCCATAGAGACCCTGCATAAGGTTTCCAAGGAGCAGCTGGTGAGCTTGAACCACCAACCTGGCAGTTCAAACAAACTTTAGGTTATAATCTTTACATGAGCAAACTGCCAGATCTTTTTTCCTGAGGACTTGTTGGAGGATTCCAGTGCCCAACCTTCTGGTTAGCAGCTAAGTCCTTAACCACTGAGCCACCAGGGTCCTTGATTTCGGATACTGTTGTTGTTGTTAAGTGCTGTCGAGTTGGTCCCGACCTATAGCAATCCTGTATAGAGTTTCCAAGGAGTGGCTGGTGATCTTGAACTGCCAATTTTGCAGTTCAAACTGACATTGCAGTCCAGCACATTAACCTACACACCAGGACTCCTATCTGGCATAGACGTACTCAATAAAAGTATTTTATGAAAAACATCATGGTAAAGATAAAAATGTCAAGATAGCAATGGGATGCAAAATGGAGGGGCCTAGTTAAAGGATAATCCGAGATGCTGGGATTGGAGGAAGACTCATTAACAACCTGTGATATGCAGATGATACAGCCTTGCTTGCTGAAATTGAAGAGGACTTAAAACATTTACTGATGAAGATCAGAGAGCACAGCCTTCAGTATGAATTACATCTCAATGTAAAGAAAACAAAAATCTTCACCACTGGACCAATAAACAACATTCTTATCAACGGAGAAAAGGTTGAAGTTGTTAAGGAGTTCATTCTTCTTGGATCAACTATCAACACTCGCGGAAACAGCAGTCAAAAGATCAGACGACATATTGCATTAGGCAGATCTGCTGCACAGGACCTTTTTAAAGTGTTGAAGAGCAAAGATGTCAGCTTGAGGACTCAGGTGTGCCTGACCCAAGTCATGGTATTTTCAATAACCTCATATGCTTGTGAAAGCTGGACAGTGAATAAGGAAGACGGAAGAAGAATTGATGCCTTTGAGTTATGGTGTTGGAGGAGAATATTGAAAGTGCCATGGGCTGCCAAAAGGACTAATAGATCCGTTTTGGAAGAAGTGCAACCAGAGTGCTCCTTAGAGGCCAAGATGGCCAAATTTCGTCACTCATACTTTGGACATATTGTCAGGAGGGACCAGTCACTGGAGAAGGATATCATGTTTGGTAAGATGGAGGGTCAGAGAAAAAGAGGAAAACTCCCAACGAGATGGATTGGCCAAGTGGCAGCATCGATGGACACATCAAGCGTGGCAACAGTAATGAGGTTGGCCTAGGATCAGGCAGTGTTTCGTTCTGCTGTGCATAAGGTCGCTATGGGTCGGTACCAACTTGATGGCACCTAACAACAACAACAGTTAAAGGATTAAGGAGCCCTGATAGCATAGTGGATTACTAGCAGGCGACTCTTAACAAGGTCAGTAGCTTAAATCTACCAGTCTCCCCGTTGGAGAAAAACGAGACTTTCTGCTCTTGTAAAGAAAGATAGACAGCCTCGGAAATCCTATACAGGGTTGTTCTGAGTCAGAATTGATTTAGAGGCATACAACATCACCACCCCCAGTTAAAGGATTACAGTCCTGTTATGGTGCTATAGGATAAGCAATGGACTGTTAATCACAAGGTTGGTAGTTCAAACCCACCAGCTGCATCTCAGAAACCCTATACAAGGTCGATATGAGTGGGAACCAACTCAATGGCACTTAACAACAACAAAGTTAAAACAAAGTATTACTAAGTGATTTTGGGAGCGCCATTGCTTAGAAATGCTTTGAAATATATTTTGCTCTGCTTTGCCTGGGTATGGAGCAGAGATGTGTTGGCCTCTGGCCCTGGGTGGGTGCTTCATCTCATCCTGTTAGGCGCTTAGGCTAGGCAGTGAGGCAGTGAAAGTCTCTCTCTCTCTTTTGGAAGCAGTTCCCAGTGCCTGAGACAGCTGGGGTTTTAAAAGGAAGCACTTGGACTTGAAACTTGGTCTAGGCTAGGAAGGCATTCCTTTTGTAAGCCGGTGTGTTGTTGTCTACCTGCTGTGTGGCAGATCCGCCTCCTCACTGGTAAGCAATACCTTCCTGTCTGTACATGTTTTCTAAGAACTGAGCTGACACTAATTGGCCATGCCAGAGGAGCCATTACTGAAAATTTATAGGCTTCTGATGGATTTTTCCTTGCCGAATTCTTGGCAGCAGTTTTGGCTCATCTTACTTAATTTTAAGCTCACCAAATCCAAAAGGCTGCAGGTGGCCAGAATCGGAAGGAAGCCGAAAGAGATTAACAGTCTCTAACCCACCTTTCCCCCTCAAAGAATGTGTGCCGCAGTTGGCCATTAATAAATGTCTGCGGTGTGTTTGTTTCTACCCCCACCCTGTCCCCAGCCCTCAATTTCTTAGAAGGACAAAACAGAGTTAGAGCTTCAAGTCACTGCTCCAGTGTGCTGGTCGTAAGTTAGTGCCCAGTAAACACCTGCTAACTGGATTTGTTTGTTTTCAAAATCTGGCTTTATTGAGACATAATTCATATGCCATGCAGCTGACTCATTTTAAAGGGTACAAGTCAATGGTTTTTATAGGGCTGTGCAAGTATTCTCATAATACATTTTAGAACATTTTCATCACCCAAGAAAGAAAAAAACTAGTACCAATTTTCCCCTAATGTAAAATGGATGTTTTCTTTTCTAAAAAATTTTGTGATAAAATACATGTAGCATAGCACTTGCCATTTTAGCCATTTTTATATATGCAATTCAGTGACATTGATTATATTTATAATGTTGGAGTGCCTTCTAAGAAAAATTTTCATCATTCAAAACCGAAACCTACTAAGATCAAATTCCACACCCACTGCCCTCGAGTGGATTCCACTTCACAGTGACCCCATAGGACAGAATAGAACGTCTCCCTAGGGTTCCAAGGCTGTAAATCTTTATGGAAGCAGATTACGTCATCTTTTTCCTCCAGAGCAGTTGGTGGGTTCAAACCCCCAACCTGTCAGTTATCAGCCTCATGCTTAGCCCACGGTGCCACCTGAGCTCAGGAACCTAGTACCCGTCAAATATAACTCCCCATTCCTTCTTTCCCCTAGAACCTGGTAACCTCTCTTCTCTATTTTCCCTCTCTGTGAACTTGCCTCTTTTAGTGATTTCATGTCAGTGACCAGATGCACTATTTGTCCTTTTGTGTCTGGCTTTTTTGTCTCTCATAATAATGTTTTCAAGGTTCATCCATGTCACATCATTTAATTTTGATGGAATCATATTCTACATTTCATTATCTGTTCATCTGTTATTTTACCTTTTGGTTCTTGTGAATATTGCTGTTATGAACATTATTCATAACAAGTGTCCAAGTCTTTGGGTAAGTCCCTGCTCTGAGTTGGTTTGGGTATGCAACAAGGAGCAGAATTGCTGGGTCCTGTGGTATTTGTATGTTTAGGTTTTTGAGTGTTAAATGGGTTTTTGAATGGTTCACACAATGGGTCTTTGTCAGAGGTATGGAATTCCAGTCCACAGAGATCCTGCCTTGTCTGTATTGTAAATTGATCAGTACAACTCAATCTATCTCCTACCCTGACCTCATCACTGTCCTTGCTCTGTGCTGCCATCATAATGTGGCATGAGGAATTACATGACCAGAGATTACCATATGCTTGTTGTGGCTTGGTGATGTCGAGTTGGTTCTGACCCATAGCAACCCTGTGAATGACAGAAAGAAACAACACCAGTCCTGTACCATCCTCACAATTGCTGCTACACTTGAGGCCATTGTTGCTGTCATAGTCCCAATCTATTTCATTAGGGAGCGCCCACTTCTTCGCTGTCCTTCCACTTTACCAAGCATGATGACCTACTCCAAGGACTGGTCCCTACTGATAACATGTCCAAAGTATGAGAGATGCAGTCTGGCTGTCTTGACTTGTAAGGCACATTCTGGCTGTACTTTTTCCAACCCAGATTTGTATGTTCTGTCAGCTCATGGTACCTCCAATGTCATGCACTAGGTAGGCGTTTTCTTCCTCATTTTGCCTCTGTAGGAGGTTCAGATTTTAGACCACGTAGCCAAGTGATTAAGAAATAATTTTTTTCCTTATAACAAAAGTTCAGATCTATTAAGATCCACATTCCATCAGGTTTGACTTAGTTTGTTTTCTTCCCTCTGGGTGGAGGTGTGGGCTGGGGAGGTTAACTTCATGCCAAAGCTTGGGGGTGAGGAAGTATCTGGTGTTGCTGAGGTGACCTCATCTCCATTGGTTTTGGTCCCCTTTCCATGTGTGTGGTTGTTGGTCCCCACCCAGGCCAGATTAGATTGGTGCCAAACCTAAACCTCCCTATAAGCTTGGTAGACACTCGATGATTTACAAATCCTCTAGGCTATAAGAAAGTCACTCTCGTGGCGTCTCTGGAGCCTGGAGTCACTTCGTTGCCATCGTGACTTGGCTTTGCCTGAAGAGTTCTGCATAGCTGTTGCATAGCCAAATGTCTTATCAAACCCTGAGGACTACTTCTATACTCCTTCCAGCTTGGGTCTGGGGAATCGCTAAGGTTGCCCCTAGAGTTGCACCTTCAGATCCTCAAATTTCTCTGGGATCTCTATCATTGCCTTTCAGCCCTTGGTCTCAGCTCAGGGTGAGACAGGCACAGGGTCTTTTTAGAGACACCATGGTGCCCTTTCTACGAACACTGCTTTTACACCCAAACCATTTCCTCTTGGTCTACAGTGATCCCCTTCTTGCCATCATCAAAGTCATCCTGACTTTCTTTTCACTTCCAGGTAGGTTTTGTGGAGATCAAGTCCCGGAGCCCCTCACCTCCACAGACAGCCGGCTGTGGGTGGAGTTCCGCAGAAGCAGCAACATCCTGGGCAAGGGTTTCTTCGCTTTGTATGAAGGTTTGTTCCCAATGAAAGGAGTCACCTGGTAGCTCCTGAGATGCCTCTGCCCTCCACGTGTGCTCTCCGTTCATCTCCACTGCATGCATGTATGGCACCTTGCCAGAGTCACGAGGGTTGGGCCAGGCCAGTTGAACACCACTATGAAGGGTGAGCCAAAGAATCCAGTGCACCCTTGTCCCCCATGTTCTGGAAGTAGAGAAGCCAGCCATGCTCATGGCAGGCCTCACAGATCTGCCCCCAAGTCCGCTGCCAGAACAGCATCCTCTGGAATCAGAACAAACATCTCACCTCTCTGAACCCCAGTTTCAGATGTGCAAAGAGGGCTATGGATGGCATCAAGGGGTTTCGAACAGGTTTCTCGAGGCCACCATGGGATCTGATTGAGCCTGGCTTTAGGCAGCTGCCACCAAGACAATCCATTTGTACTTAGTCTGTATAATAAATTGCTCTGGCTGGGCAACGCCTGCCCCAACACAAAGAAAACCACTAGAGAATGATGAGGCTTCTTCTAGCTTTACATTGTTATAATTTTGGAGAGGACAAGCTTTTGTTTTTGTAAAATAGTGTGTGTGTGTGTGTGCATGTGTGTATGCATTCTCTCTGTGTGTGTCTCTACCTTGGCTGCAGTGAGAATCACCTGGGAAGCTCTTACACATCACTACTGCTTGGAGCTTCCCCAGACCACTTGGACCCTAATTTCTAGGAATGTAGCCCTAGCTTTAATAGCTTGAAACATCTACTCGCTGGTCTGATACTCGGTGCAAGTAGAGAGCCGCTTTTCTCTATTTGTTAAGTGCCTTCAAGCCGGTTCCAACTTGTAGCAACTCTGTATAGGGTTTTCGAGGCTGGTTGAGTGCTTGTCCTATAGCGCCACATCAGGACTCTACCTGGTTATTTTCATTATACGAATAATTTCAGAGTTTAAAACAAATGAAATTGTGCCTTCAGGAAGGCATAATCTCTGGTGGATGGAAATAAAAATGTTGGCAAGTGGAGCCACCTAGTGGTAGTAAGTGGCCACCCAATTTCTTTCTTAATATCTGAGCAGCGATGCCCCTTCCTCTTGTGCCCTTTCTAAAGCCACGTGTGGGGGAGACATTAACAAAGATGCTGGTCAGATTCAATCTCCCAACTACCCAGATGACTACAGACCTTCCAAGGAATGTGTCTGGAGGATCACTGTCTCGGAGGGGTTTCACGTAGGGCTTACCTTCCAAGCTTTTGAGGTGAGTACTGCTCAAATTATCTTTTCAAGGAATGAAGTCAGTGCCTGCTTTAGTGGGACACTCTTTGTTCTGCAAAGATGGTTTAAAGACGGGAAACTAAGAGACCATTTTAAGTCCCTGGTAAATTGCTTCTGAACATCTGGGATTGAAACCCTTTCAGGCATTGAAATTGAGTCCAACTCCTTCCCGAAGGCGGCTGGAGTAGTTGAGGGATGGGGAGAGGGGAAGGTGATAGAAGTGGCGAGTCTATGACTGGATCCAAGAAGGTGCTGTGGAATTATTCTTTCCTGTTTATCATCTCTCATTAGTGGTTTAGTGGTAGAATGCTGACCTTCCACATGGGAGACCCGTGTGCAGTTCCTGGTCAATGCACATTATGCGAAGCCTCCACTCATCTGACAGTGGAGGCTTGCATGTTTCTAGGATGGTGAACAGGTTTTTATGGAATGTCCAAACTAAGACTAGGAAGAAATGCCTGGTGATCTATGTCTGGAGATCAGCTGTGGGTCACAACAGTATGATCTTGTACATGGGATTGCCATGAGTCAGGGACCAGTTCAATGGCTGCCAGCAACAAGTCTCTCCTTTACTTGATTCATCCATGACATCTATAAGTAGACAAAGCTTGGAGAAACCCAGAACACACCTGGGTCCTTCTGCCTCTCTTAGATTTTTGAGAGAGACACAGGTTTCCTCTGTAAATCAGAAGCCATCAGCTCCTAGTCATGTGGAGTCATCCCTGTGCCTTTGTTTCTGTGTGTAGATTGAAAGGCATGACAACTGTGCATATGACTACCTAGAAATCCGCGATGGCCCCACAGAAGAGAGCACCCTGATTGGCCACTTCTGTGGCTACGAGAAACCGGAGGACGTGAAATCGAGCTCCAACAGAATGTGGATGAAGTTTGTGTCTGATGGCTCTATCAATAAAGCAGGCTTTGCTGCCAATTTTTTCAAGGGTATGAATTAGCATTTCATTTCCACTTATAGTCGCAGTAAGAGGTATTGCCCTTCTGGCTTAAGAATCACAAAACACATGTGGAACCTTAGCATCAAACAGCTCTTCCCACAGGCCCTCTTTTAGAGGTGTCCTTAGAGCCTCCAGCAGAGGCCATTACTGATGGCTTAGCCCTGACTTATACACGGCAGAAGGTTCTGCCACTGAACTTGGAAATTAGACTTAATATGTTTGCAAGGTAAAACAACACTATAGTGGAACTTGTTGTTGTTAAGTGCTGTTGAGTAGGTTCCAACCTATAGTACCCTGTTTAGGGTTTCTGAGTAGCGGCAGGTGAGCTTGAACTGCCGACGGTGTGGTACAAAATGAACTTGCAGCCCAGCGCATTAGCCCACAGCACTACACCAGGACTCCATTGATAATAAATGTTTGCACAGTAGCTGCCATTATTTTGAGCCACCTACTGTGTGACAGGAGTTCTGGTGTGGCGCTGTGGGTTAATGCGCCAGATTGCAAAGCCGTTTGAACTGCGAGGTCGGTGGTTCAAGCTGACCAGCTGCTCCTCGGAAACCCTATACAGGTTGCTGTGGGTTGGAGTAGACTCGACGGCACTTAACCACAACAACTATGTGACAGGAACTGTGCAAGGCACTTGGTTTATATGGTGCCATTAAATTCCTAAAATAAGCTTTGAGTTGGATTTTGATCATGAGTTGGATTGGTCGGGAATAAGAAGGGCTCCTCATCCTCAGGTCTGAAATTGGGTGCTCCCAGAGAGCTAAATGGTAACCTGTCAGCGTTGACCCAGCCTAACCTCTTTCCAGGCTCTGTTGGTAATCAGAAATACACATTTCTGAGAGGACTGGTGAAGCCTGGAGATGAGGGTTGTTAGATTTAGCAAATAAGATGTTCTGTTAAATTTAAATTTCAGATAAACAAAGAGTCATTTTCTATACAATATTTCAAATATTGTATATATTTAAGAAAGCTTGTTTTGTTTTTATCTAAAATTAAAATTTAGCTGGGTCTTGTGCATTTATGTGGCACCCCTGATGGGGAGGCCAATCAGAGGAAAGGAAAGGAATGCTTCTCTCTGTGAAGCTGAACTGATCTGTAAGGGACTCAGAGAAGAGCCTCCCCCCACCCACCCCCATTCCAAGTAGCCATGATGACCAGCCTCCTTGAATGGTTAGAAAGTATTCTGTCCCTTCTCTGCATTTAATACTGTGCGTTGGTTTTGTGCTGTGCGGTGGGTTGAGGAGTCCTGGTGGTGCAGTGGATTAAGCGGGCCTTTCAGTGTGCCACCCGTGAGGATGTTAATTGAGGTCCACCTATTCTGACTTAGAGTGCAGACCCAGTCAGTCAAGGAGGGCAGCAGGGAACCTAGAGAAGAAATATTTAGCATTAACCTTGACCCTGAATCTTAGAGGAGGACCAGAACTATTGAAACTCCATTGGGGCCTATTAAAGGGGAAAGAAAAGGCATGTATGAAGTGCTGACCGTGTGCCAAAAACGACATGACGTAGCTTACTATAGCTTCAAAACAACACCTAGGAAGGCAGTGTTCTGACCCCCTTTTAAAATGAAAGAGCTGGAAGTTCTAAAGTGGCAAATCTACAACTGGAACTTGGATCCATTGTCCCACTGTTTGTTTGCTGCACCACATTGCTTAACTCAAAGACCCAAAAGTCACAGGGAAAAAAGTGAAGGGATTTGAACATTTCATTAGTATTTGTGATTTGATTCTTCACTGCCGATTCTGAGGTATGCAGTAAAGGGCCCTGGGTTTTGCATCTGAAGCTCTAGTTTCTGGACCTACCTGTGTTCCTTACTAGCTAGATGTTTTCAGGCAGGTCCGTTTTCCTTTCTCAGACTGGATCATACTTGTTGAGACCTTCACTGTGTTCCCAGGGCCGGGCACACAGTAGGACATATGGATGGATGAATGAACTGCAGATTCCTCATGTATGGACTGGGCATCATGATACCTGTTCCACCTAACTTACAGGGTTCCAAGAAGGATGGGTGAGATAGGAGACTAGTCTAGAGTATTAGAAATATGAGGGGGCTTCAAAAAGCTCATGGAAATATTCCATTACCTTTAAATTTCATTTGTCCATGAGCTTTTTGAAGTTCCCTCATAGAATAAAAGCCATCAGTATAGGCCACACATGTTAATTCTTAATGTTCTAGATGTTGTTGTTGTTAAGTTCCATCAAGATTGGTCCTGATGCATAGCAACCCTCTATAGGGTTTCCAAGGAGGGGCTGGTGGGTTTGAACCACCAATCTGGTGGTGAGCAACCTAGTGCTTACCCTACAGTGGCACACCAAGACTGCAAATTTCTACTAGCTTATAAAAAATGAAAGGAAGCAATGAAATTCATTTTAATATATATTTTATTTTGTTCCATGCATCCAAAATGCTATTATTTGAACATGTAATCAATATCATGAGATCATTTAAAATATAATGATATGTTTTACATCATTTTACCTTTACTAACTCTGGAAATCCAGTGTATATTTTACACTGAAAGCCCAACTCAATTTAGACTCATTACATTTCAACTTTTCGGTAACACGTGGCTGGTGACTGCCATGGGGAGCGGCGCAGGTCTAGAGACTGAAGAAAGTCAGCTTCCTGAGATCAGGCTTTTTCCCATAAAGTCACCAGTAAGATGTTCTGTGAACACAAAGTGCCCAGCATATGTGTCAGCACTTCTCCAGTGAAAGAAATTGGAAGAATGATGGCAAAGGCGGATCAGAAGAGTTAGGCCAAGCCAAAGGAGCTTTTGCCTTGGTGCCAGTTGGCAGGTGGTTTTGCCCAGGGCCCAGCTGGCAGATGACACTGGCTAAGGTGCCAATTGGCCACTGCATCCCTCTCTTTGTGCCAAATGGCAGCTTGGCCAGCAACAAGTGGAGCCCCACACATTTCTGGTTACTTTGGGTGATGACAGCATTCTAGAGTTGGCAGTACCATTTGGGTTCCACACTTCTCACATAGGGAATATGAGGATTCCTCTTGGATTCCTGCATTCCACTGTCCCGGTGCCAGTGATGTTTGGTGGTTCTACAAAATGTCTCTTCAAAACCTTAGAAATGCCCAGTGGCATGTGAGCTCTCTGGGGAGATTCTCCAATGATTCATTTGCTTCTGTTCTGGACAGCACTATGGTCACCCACTTGTCATTATTTAGTGGCCCCTAAAGCATGACTCTGCACTTACCCATGCTGAATTCTCTGCAGATCCCACCACCAACTCAGCTGACCTCTTCCTACAGTTTACCCTAGGAGCATTTGCTAACCTAAAAGCCTGGTGTCTTCTCTAACCTCCATCATTTCCCCGTGCACACCTCTTGCAATTATTCATAAAAATACTAAGGGATCGGTTCTGAATCTGGTAACTAGAGAATACTTACACACCCCCATTCAGAAATGTGCCCCTTTGTCCTAACTCTTTATTTATCATTCCTGAGCAGATCCATATTTGTTGTTGTTAAGTGCTGTCAAGTCGGTTCCGACCCATAGTGAGCCTGCAGAGGGCTTCCAAGGAGCGACTGGTGAGTTTGAACTGCCAACCTTGCAGTTCAAACTGACTTTTCAGTCTAGCGCATTAACCCACAGCACCGCATCAGGACTCCATATTTCAGGGAGAGAAATCTCCCCAGAGGCACAGCATTGAAATGAAGTAAGCCTCTGGTGTGGGACCTTGTAAGCTATTTTGAAATCACAAATGAATACTGCTGAGTGCATGCTTCTGAGAATTAAATTACCCAGGCATGATCTGCTCCCACAGAGCTCTGCTTTGGGGTAAAAGGTTATTCTTGCTGGTTCCTCCCTTTACAAACGTATCGCTGCTGCTGGGGACTCAGACATGGCCTTCATTTGCTAGTGCTGTCGTAAGAGAGGTACCCCAAGTGGGTAGCTTTAAAGAATGGGAGTTTATTTTCTTTTAAAGTTCTAGAGGCTGTTAGCCCACACCAGGGTCCTGACCTGTCGATTCCTTTCATGGGCTTCTCTCCTAGTTTCTGGGAACTGCTGGCAGTCCTTGGTGTTCACAAATGAGTTCTCACTCAAACCAAACCATCGTCATCAAGCCAATCCCCCTCATAGTGACCCTGTGGGACAGGGTACAGGTGCCCTTTGGGCTTCAGAGGCTGTACATCTTTATGGAAGGAGACTGCCTCACCTTTCTCCTGAGGAGTAGCTGGTGGGTTTGAATTGATGACTTTTAGGTTCGCAGTCCAGTGCTTAACCCACTGCACCACCAGGACTCCTCATGTGGCATCTGTCTTCCCCCTGTCTGTGTCTGTGTCTGCTCTTTTAGTAACTCACAAGTGATTAGGTTTAGGACTCATACTGCAAATCTTTACAGGAGCAGAAAGCCTCATCTTTCTCCTGTGGAGCAGCTGGTGCATTTGAACTGTTGAACTTTCTGTTAGCTGCCAGCTTGTAATCCACTACATTACGAGAGCCCCTATCCTACTCTGACAGGAACTTATTAACATAAAAGAAGAAAACTCCTATTTCCAAACAGGGTCACGTCTACAGGTATAGATAGGGGACAAGACTTCAAGACATATTTTGGGAGACAAAATTCGACCCATTACAGATGTGGACATGGACCTCACATTTCTGGTGACTTCGGGCAATGGCAGCAGCATTCCAGGGTTAGCAGGTGGTCAGGAGACACTTATTTTCACTCCATGTCCCTGTGGAAGGAGGTGGGGAGTAAGGCCAGGTGACTTTCTGATGATGCACCTGAGGTGGTCTTCTTTCCTCAACAGAGGTGGACGAGTGCTCCTGGCTAGGTCACGGCGGGTGTGAGCAGCGCTGCGTGAACACCCTGGGCAGCTACAAGTGTGCGTGTGACCCTGGCTACGAGCTGGCTGCAGATAAGAAGGCCTGTGAAGGTGGGTGCTGTCTTGGGTAACAGTGGAACAGAGATGGGGTTGGCTATGAAGTAACAATGCACAGATGTGGAAGGTCCCAGCGGGAGCAACAGCATTATAACCCGTAACCAGCTGCCATGAAGTTTGTCACAGTGACTGCATGTGTGTCAGAGTAGAACTGTGCTACGTATGTAGGGCTTTCCATGGCTGATTTGGGAGAACTAAATCACTAGATGTTTCTTCCAAGGTGCTTCAATCCTACAGCTTTTGGTTAGCAGCTGCATGTTTTAACAGTTTTATTAAATGAACAGATTCCACCCTAGAAATGGTGAAACCAGAACCATGACTTTGTTTCTTCCATGACAGTGTCAAATTCACATGGGTTTTTTTTGTTTTGTTTAAGATTTAGATAATAATTTATCGATTTTTTAGTGAATATTTAATGCATATTGTTTAGTGACCTTGGTTATGTTTTTTACAATGTGACCATAAGTCTAATTTCCATTCTGGTTGTTCAGTTTCCATTCATCTAGCTTCCCGCCCCACCTACATCTTGTCCTGGCTTTTTGGTCTCATGTAGTGTTGTTGTTGTTGTTGTTTTTTCCTTTCTTTCTTTAAGAGCACAGTTCACAGTGATATTATTTGTTTCATGAGTGAATCGGTTATTTCGATGACCACGGGAGTAGTTTCAGTTCTAGGTTTACAGGATATGTCAGGGCAATAATCTCAGGGACTCTTGTAGTCTCTACTCGTCCAGTAAGTCTGCCTTTTTTTTTAAGAATTTGAGTTTTATTCTACGTTTTTCTCTTATTCTAACCAGGACCATCTAGTATGTCCCTAGCTTGAATGGCCGCTAGTGGCAGCTGGGTAGTACGTATCTTCTCGTAATAGATAAGGCATGTGAGCCATTAGGCCTATCAAGTAGGTTTTCCTCTGAATTCAAATGACTTTTCAGGATAGAAAATAAAAACAAAGGCTAGCAGACTTCTGGGACCCCATTTTGACCTGGCTGGTGTTCTGTTATCCTTGCCTGTCTGCATAAGTCTGCTTGTTCCTGTAAACCAGGTATGTGACTTAGCATGGTGCAAACATCTCTAGCTCTCCTTTGGTCCAAGTCATGTGGAGTCCCCAACTGTGCCCCTGGGTGACAGGTTAAGTTCAAATGCATCAGCAGCAGCAGCATAAGCAGTAAAAATTTGTCCCCAGTGTCATCCCCCCACAATCTTCAGTTGAAACAAGTAGACAACGGGGGAAAAAAGACACAGAATTAACCAGTTTAGAATGGCTGACATTAAATATACATATTATTAAAGAACAGTAGGGCTGATTGCTTCTTAGGGAGCATCCCAGTCACTTGGAACCCAAACCAAATGCATTTTGTTTTTGTTTCTGTATCTTTCATGCAGTGGCCTGTGGCGGTTTCATTACCAAACTGAATGGCACCATCACCAGCCCTGGGTGGCCGAAGGAGTACCCCACAAACAAAAACTGTGTCTGGCAGGTGGTGGCCCCCCTTCAGTACCGGATTTCCCTGCAGTTTGAAGTATTTGAGCTGGAAGGCAATGATGTATGTTTCTTCACTCGGATTCTCTGGGGACTGTTGAGATGAGGCTCAGAGTGTGGGAGTGGTCTGTGCGGAACAGGGACTGAGATTCCCAGAAGCTCACAGTCGGGCAGCACCTGGGACCTGTTTCACCTGCAGCTATAGCTGCTCATCCTCTGCACATACAGCTCCCTGACCCTCTGTTCCCTGATAAATCCAAAGAAGAGTCAGGGCAGGAGCAGAGACCTTGGGGGTGGAATGGGTGTTGATAGGCAGCTGGGGAGGAACAAGTGAGAAAGGAAGGGGGTGAGGTTCAGCTGGGGGTGAGGATGGCTCCCCCCGCTTGGTCTGTGCTCAGCAGACTCCCCAGAATGTGTGATCATGTCAACTGTAGGTCCAGGCAGAGCCTAGAGCCAGTGTGCTGGCCAGACCTTGCCCAAGATGTCCCTTGAGTTGGAGGGATCCCCAAGGCACAGAGGCCCTTCTCCATGCTCCCATGGCTGGGCCAAGCTGGGATTCTTATAAGGAGCCATCTTGACAGCAGCCTCAGTGTGGCTCTCTTCACTTGACCAGCCAGGGCTGCTGGGTACTGAGAAGTGACCCCATGCCGATGACAGAGATGCACTGAGGCCCCAGTGACAATGAGGGTCTCACCCCATAGTGAATACTGTATGGAAAGTATAAATCATTGCTGCAGCAGGCAACATGAGTTCTGGCTTTACCACTGCTATGGTACAGCTTCATGTAAGTGTCCTTGCTATGTGACTCGGGACAAGTCAGTGTCTTGTCTTTCTGAACTTCAGTTTCTCTGCATGAATGTATATAAGTGTTGGACTGCATCCGTGGGTTGCAAACCTCTCCTCTTCTTTCCTTTCTTTTTCTCCTTCTTCTAGCAATGGGTGACTTTGTTCAAATGAAATCTCATATGGAAGCCTGATATATAAAATAAATAAAAGCAAGGCTGTAGAATACCAGGGGGTTGGGTTTTGGAGAAGATTCCAGGATGGTACAAACTGTTTTCTCTCAACTACTAACCTAAAGTTTGGTGGTTTGAGCCCAGCCAGTGGCACTGAAGAAGGAAGGCTTGGCTATGTGCGTCTGTAAAGATGACGGCCCATGGAGCAGTTCTACTGTAGCACAAGGGACTACCATAAATCGGAACGAAGTCGGTGATGGCAGTGGTGTGGGCTTTGGAATCTTATTCTCATGTACCAGGCGATGCATTTCCCACAGAAGGACAGCTGGAAAACCAGGGGGGGCCGTGCTGCTGTCCTTGGGCTTGCAGCTCCTAGAACTCATTCTAATGACCAGCTCACTAAAGGTCAAAGGGATGCTCCCCAGTACCTGGCTGAGCCCATGCGGCCACTTGGCTGGGTTGAGCTCCCAGGAGACCACAGCAATAGTGTGTGTGCGTGTGCGTGTGCGTGTGCGTGTGTGTGGGGGGGGGCACTGGTGAGGGACATGGAGGCACCAGGCCCCTCCCACCTCGCTCCCTTGCAGGTCTGTAAGTATGACTTCGTGGAGGTGCACAGTGGTCTGTCCCCTGATGCCAGGCTGCATGGCAAATTCTGTGGCTCCGAGATGCCGGAGGTCATCACCTCACAGAGCAACAACATGCGTGTGGAATTCAAGTCCGACAGCACGGTCTCTAAACGCGGCTTCAGGGCCCATTTCTTTTCAGGTATGTGGGTTTGGGGGAGAGATCACAAACAGAGGGACACATGACTTAGGGTACCTGCTAACTCCTCTCTGCCCACCCTTCTGCCCACACAGTTATTTCCACCTTAATACCATGACTTGGATCAGGTGCACCTTAGTCCTCAAACTGACACCTTTGCTCTTCTTGCACACTTTAAAGAGGTCTTGTGCTGAAGATCTGCGTAATGTAATGCATTGTTTGATTTCTTGACTGCTGCCTTCATGAGTGTTAGGTAGTGGATCCAAGCAAAATGACATCTTTGACAACTTCAGTCTTTTCTCCATTTATCATGATGTTATTTATTGATCCAGTGGTGAGGATTTTTGTTTCCTTTACATTGAGGTACAACCCATACCAAAGGCTTTAGTTTTTAATCTTTATCACTAAGCATTTTAAGTCCTTTTCCCTTTCAGCAAGCAAGATGAAATCATCTGCATATCACAGGTTGTTAATGCGTCTTCTTCCAATCCTGATGCCATGTTCTTCATATAATCCACTTCATATAATCCAGTTTCTCAGATTATTTGCTCAGCATACAGACTGAATTGTGAAAGAATACAACCCTGGCATACATCTTTCCTAATTTTAAACCATTCAGTGCCCCCCTTGTTCTGTTCAGATGACTGCCTCTTGGTCTATGTACAGGTTCCTCATGAGAAAATTAGCCAACTGTTTCTTTTTGGTACAGTGATTCTGTATTCCTTGTTGTTGTGATGCTTTCTGCATCATTCAATATTTTGCCCATAGAATCCTTCAATATTTTAAGTTGAGACTTGATTTTTTTCTTCAGTTCTTTCAGCTTGAGAAATGCTGAGCATGTTTTTCCCTTTTGGTTTTCTAGTCCCATCTTGACAAATTTCACTATACATACTTGATTTGTCTTCTGGAGTTGCCTTTTGAAATTTCCTGTTCAGCTCTTTGACCTCATTTCTTATATTTGCTTTATCATCTCTATGCTGGAGAGCAAGTTTTTCAGAGTTTCTTCTGATATCCATTTTGCTCTTTTCCTTTTTTCTTGTCTACTTACCTTTTGCTTTCTTCCTATGATGCTTTTGATGTTATTCTACCCTCTTATGCTCTTTGGTCATTAGTGTCTAATACATCAAATCTGTTCTTGAGATGATCTCTAAATTCAGGTGGGATGTGATCAGGTCATGTTTTTGGCACTTGTTGACTTGTTTTCATTGTCTTCAGCTTCAGCCTGAACTTGCATATGAGCAATTGATAGTCGGTTCCACTGTCTCCCCTTAGGGGGCCTTGTTTTGGCTGCTGATGTGGAGGCTTCAAGTTCAAAATCAAGTTGTTGGCAGGACAGTGCTCTCTCTAAAGGCTCTAGAGCAAAATTCTGCCTTGCTTCTTCCAAAGATCTCTTGGTAGTTCCAGGAAATCTTTGACAATCCTTGGCTTCTATCTGCCTCATTCCAATCTGTCTCTTTCATCACGTGGGTGTCTCCTCTGTTCTTATAAAGACTCCTGTCATTGGATGTAGAGCCTCTGAGCCACATGAACTGCTTCTTCACTAAGTGACCTTGAGCATATTAGCTGTCTCCAGCCTTAGTTTCCCTACCAGAAAAAAGGGGTGCAGATGCCTCCCTCCATCGGTTGTGTGAGAATTAATGTATAGAAAGTATTTGGGGGCAGTGCCCAGATCATAGTAAGTACTCAATAAATACTAGTTATTTTTATTATTTTGACTATTATAAGCACTGGACTGCTAACCAAAAGGTTGGTAGTTCAAACCCACCAGATGCACCTCGGAAACCCTATACAAGTTCGCTATGTGTCAAAATTCACTCCACCATGGCACTTAACAACTACATTATTATTGTTATCAGTGTATCTTTCAAGGGACTCCTGACTTGGGGAAGGAGCAGGGCAGGAGAAGAGGCATACATTTAAATGCTTTAGGATGTGGAGAATTTAACACATACCAAGTCTGGAGGATCCCCAGAAAATGGAGATGCAGCTGCTGCTCTCGCCAAACCGGGCAGTCAAGGGATAGTCAAATCTGGGGTAATCAGGGAGGCTTCCTGGAGGAGACCAGGTTTCCTCCAGGTCTGAGCTGCGGGGGACATTTCCAAGCTGGCAGTTCCTCTTAGTTGAGTCGGCTCATCTCCCCAGACAAGGACGAGTGTGCCAAGGACAATGGCGGATGCCAGCACGAGTGCATCAACACGTTCGGAAGCTACCTGTGTCGGTGCAGGAACGGCTACCGGCTCCATGACAACGGGCTCGACTGTAAGGAGGGTAAGGCTGCGCCCTCTGTGGGGGGCGGGCGAACCTTGGGCGTCAGAATTGGAGGCGGGGCTTCCTCAGGTCTCTAGAGCCTTGAGCTGCAGGCCTGGCCTTGCATGGGAATGACCCAGGGAATGTTCCCCTGCTTCTGGCCACACCCTCGGACACCCCAGGCCAACTCACTAGTTCAGGGGGCACCTGGGAGCCTTTCAGTGCTCGCTGAGGAGTCACTACTGCAAAGTAAAGCAAACCCGTAGGTTTCAGAGTCAGACTACTTAGGTTTACAGAGTGATCCTTCCGCGTACTGGATGTGTGACCTAGGGCAAGTTATTCTGAGCCTCAGTTTCTTCTGTTAAAACAGAACAAAGTGCGCCCTTTTCTCAACCCTTTCGTGACCCCATGGGACATATCCCTCGGTATCCACGTGAAATTGGTGCTAGGATCCCTGAAGATACCCAGATTTGAGGATGCTCAAGGAGCTCTGGTAGCGTAGTGGTTACGAATCGGGCTGCGAACCATAAGGTCAGCAGTTCGAAACTACCAGCTGTTCAGCGGGAGAAAGATGAGGCTTTCTGCTCCCGTATAGATTTACAGCCTCGGAAACCCTGTAAAGGGTCGCTGTGACTCCACGGCACATAACAACAACAATAACAACAACAAGTCCCTACTATAAAATGGTGTATTATCTGTGCATAACCTATGTGCATCTTTCCATACATCTTTAAATCATTTTGAGATAATTTATAATACTTAATACAATGTAAGTTCCATGTAGATAGCACTTTACTCATTCTTAGCCTTTGGGGGATTGTTTTGATCATTTAATAACACCCCCACCACACACACACACACACACACACACACTCCCTATACAAAAGGGCTTTAAAAAGTTCGAGGAAACTTTGAATTTAAAAGATAACGGACTTTTCCCACATACGTTTTGAAGCACTTTCATATTTTTTAAACCACCGTTGGTTGAATCATCGAATGCCCAGATACCGACTGCCAACTGCGGTGCCTCTGAGGCATAGCGGAAAGCTCCCATTTCCATTTTTAGTGCATGCTGCCATCTAGTGGCAGTCTGTATAACTGCGTGACCTGAAGAAAACAGGCCTCTTCCCAACTCCGCACCAGAGACTGCTCAGGATGAGACCCACTCATTGTATCAAAATCTATAGTAGCTCCAAAAAAGTTTTATTTCATTCAAAATGCCTTCTATTTCTGAAAACACATGGTTTCAACAAAAAATTTGATGTCAAAAAAATTCAACCTGGTGGTGGTTGGTGGTTGTGTGCCATGGAGCTGATTCGGACTTTTAGCGACATGTAGGGTTTCTGAGGGTTTATAAATCTTTACTGGAGCAGAAAGCCTCATCTTTGTCCTGAAGAATCGCTGAAGGTTTTCAATTGCTAACTTTGAGATTAGCAGCCCGATTCGTTAAAGTTTTTGTAAGAATGAAATGAGAGGATGCCTAGAAAGTGTTCAGACCACTTGACTATTAATTAAGCACCTGGCATGTCCATGAATATCAGACATATTATTTACCATATTGGCAAAATAGGACTTGGGGAAATTTTTGCTTCCCACTCCACTCTTGGAGTCCTGGTGTGGCACTGTGGGTTAATGCGCTGGACTGCAAAGTTGTTTGAATCACAGTGTTGGCAGTTCAGGCTCACCAGTCACTCCTTGGAAACCCTATACAGGGTTGCTATGGGTCGGAACCGACTCAACGGCACTTAACAACAACAACACTCGATTCTCCGGACTTCTTGTGTGGCAACTGTAGGATAAGCGCAGGACTGCCAGATGAGTTTGAACTATAAGGTCCACAATTTAAATTCACCAGTCTCTCCTTAGAAACCCTATACTAGATTGTTGTGACTCAGAACTGACTGACCTGACGGCACTTAACAACAACTCCTCTCTCTACTAGGGCGGTTCTTCAGGGCCAGATGCCTTTGAATATTCAGTCATTCTGGAAAAGGCCTTCCATAGGTCCTTGGCTTCCTCAGTGTAGGCCATTCCAGCCCTGTGATAAAGACATGGGCCTCTAGGCTTTGGCACCAGCCATGGGCCCTGCAAAGGAAGTCTAGGCTTGGGGGAGAGATGAATACCATATGCCCCTAACTAGAGTACACATTTCAGAGTGAGGGGATTTGGTGGGGGAGCTTCAGAGTCTGGTCAGGGCCAGGTGGAATATTAAAGGATTAGATGAGACATCATCAGAAGCAGGTGTGGCTACTCCCCCATCTCCTGTTTCCTCCACACCCAAGTCCTGTTGCCTGGACCTTCGTGGTCATAGACCTAGGTGGTCACACACTGTTGTGTTGGGATGGGAGGGGGAAAACTGGGAAAAGTTTTTGAAAAACTCATTCTGAAATGTATCACATCTTTGTTAAGCCCTTGTGAGGTGGGCTGGGTGGTGGATGTGGGAGCAAGTGTCCCGGGAGCTGAACTGCTGACCTTGTTGGTGCCTGTTCTCTGTGTGACTACGGAACAGATGCAGCCTTGAGTAAGAGCCAGCCTCGTAGAGCACCCTTGAAGCTTCTGCCTCCCACCCTCCCCTATGTCTGCTGCCTCCATCTTTCTAAATCCTGAGCTGCAGAACAAGGTTAAAGATAGCGATGGAACAAGGCAGACCTGTCTCCCCAGCCATACTATGTTTTCTAATCCGTACTAACACAGACCTCAGAACCAGGCAGACCTAGGGTCAGTTCCTGGCGCCACCTCTTACCTGCAAGCCCCGTACTCTCTAAACTTATTTTCTTATTTGGAAAGAGAGGAGGACTACAAAATGCTCAACACAAAGGAAGATAACATCTAGCTACCAGCCAAAATGCTATTAAATGGACAAATTGTGGCGTCACTCTTTGCTAATAGTACAGTATTCAGGACAAAATTGGTAGATGCAAAATGAAACTGTTTTGTAAAGCTAGAGAAGCACTTAGATGGAGATCTTGGTTAGCCAGTGTTTAGGACACTTGCCATGTGCCTGATGTTTGCTATTTACATGCATGGTCTTATTTAGTCCACACATTTAAGCCCTATGAGGTTGGCAGTATGGTGCCCCTTCTACAGACGTGGACACTAAGGCTCATATAAGGAGCCCTAATCGGGCTGCGAACCTTAAGGTCAGTGGTTCGAAACTACCAGCTGCTCCGCGGGAGAAAGATGAGGCTTTCTACTCCCGTAAAGATTTACACCCTTGGAAACCCTATACAGGGTCGCTATGGGTCGGAACCGACTCGATGGCACATAACAACAACAACAACAATGGTCAATGCGCAAGTGCTCCCCTGCTAACTGAAAGGTCTGTGGTTTGATCCTACCAGCAGCTCCTCGGAAGAAGGACCTGAAGTTTTACTCCTATAAATATTGATGATGGTGGCGGTGTGCTATCAAGTCAATTCCGACTCATAGCGACCCTGAACAGGGTTTCTGAGGCTAAACAATTTTACAAGAGCAGAAAGTCTCATCTTTCTCTCTCAGACTTTCTGGTAGATTCAAACTGCTTACCTTATGGTTAGCAGCCCAACTCGTAACCAACTACGCTACCAGAGCTCCTTCCTGTTAAGATTACAACCCAGGAAACCCTATGGGGAAATTCTGTTCTGTCATATAGGATCGCTGTGAGTCACAATCGCCTTGACAGAACACAATGGTGGGTGTGAGCCGTGGAGTCAGTTCTGACTCATAGCGACCCTGTACAGGGTTTCCGAGGCTATAAATCTTTACAGGAGCAGAACACCTCATCTTTCTCCCACGGAACAGCTGGTAATTTCGAACTGCTGACCTTGCGGTTTGCAGCCTAATTTATAATCACTACGCTACCAGAGCTCCTTAACACGCACAATAACAGGACTTAAAATAAATGCCTGAGTCCCACAACTGAAAGGCAATTGAACCAGGGTTTCCACCCTGGTCCATCTGACTCCACGCCTGTGTTCTCAGTCACTGTTGTTGTGTGCCATTGAGTCAGTTCCAACGCTAGGGTTTCCAAGTTCGGCTGGTGGGTTTTGAACTGCCAGCCTTGCCATTAAGAGTTCAGTGCTTATCCTTCAGTGCCATACAGGGTTCACCCACTAACGGTACCACATTCACAATGACAACTGTGATGCGAACAGTAATAGTAGGAAATACAACCCAACTTCCTAAGCACCGTCAGGAGGTTACTACCCCAGTTGAGATAAATAGACAAATCTCTGAGTAGGAGACACTTCACTCAGGCTTTGGTACTGCCCATAAATGACTTACTTCTCTTGCTGTATGTCCCTTCTCACCCCCAGCGGGCTGCGAGCACAAGATCAGTAGTGCGGAGGGAACTCTGGTGAGCCCCAACTGGCCAGACAAATACCCCAGCCGAAGGGAGTGTACCTGGAACATCTCTTCAACTGCAGGTCACCGGGTGAAACTTGTGAGTCATCATTGCAGTTTATTAAGAACATGGCTTGGAGTATCAGACAGTTATGGGTTCGAGTCTCCCCTCTGCCACTTGCCAGATCTGAAACTTAAAGTTACACAATATTTCAAGTCTCAATTTTATTTTCTAGAAAACAGAGAGGTAATAAAACCTACTTTGTGAGGAGGCTGTTGTACGGATTAGAAGAGAGGATGCATCTGAAGTCCTCAGCACATGAGGGTGGCAAATGAGAAAAGCTCATTCCCAGTGGTACCAGGGTGGAGGGTGGGGAAGCCCAACACACAGATCTGCAGTGCGGTTTAAGCTCCCGTTGTTTTCTTTTCAATTTTTTTTGGCAAAAGCAATTGCATGCTGAATGTAAAAAAAAAAAAAAATCAGTACAGGAGTTTGGAAAGCGGAAATGAAAAGTCCCCAGGTCTCCCATTCCTAAAGAGATAAACTCTTTGAATCCTTTCATGTGAATCCTTCCAGAAAATTCCTATGTATAGCCAATCATGTGTGCACATTCATGAGAAAAAAATACATATCCTTTTTCTTACTCAGACTACTCAAATGAAATCTTATTATTCATAATCTTCTACAATTTACATTTTTAAAATGGACAATGGGAGACTAAGGTCTTTATGCTAATTTTGTCTTGAATAGCAATTTTAAAAAAAACACCCCATCCAAGTTTTTATGTGAAGTGCCATGCAGGTATGTGAGTTGTGATTGGTGCACCCTGCTCAGCTATTTCAAAGGAGAACTCTATCTCTCATAGAGGGTCATTTCTCAACCCCCAGGGATTCCCAGATCCTGGAACATAAAACAAACCGACTTGCCAGAGTCATCGTGACTCTGGGATGAGTAGCTCTTAAAGAGGCATGTGTATGCAGGTGTCTGTGTGGTGCTGTAGGATAAGCACGGGACTGCTAGCCACAAGGTCAGTGGTTCAAGCCCACCAGCTGCTCCTTGGAAACCCTATATGGGGTCACTATGAGTCGGAATGGACTTCAGGACATGAACTGCGAATGTGGGGAGGAGAAAAACAAAAGAGGAAGAGAGAGGATCCCCCAGGGATTTCCAGAGTGTTTATTCAGGGACAGCGGTAAAGAGGAAAGGTGAGAGATGGGCCGGCGGCTCTGAGGTCCGGTTCCAGAACCAGAGCCTCGGTACTGGGTTTGGGGCTCAGAGGTGGAGAAGACAGGACCCCTGGCCACAAGTTGCTCATAGGTTCCTGAATGCAAACGTGGCTGATGCAGGAGTCGACCCATGACCTGGAAGCAGTGGGCACTTTATAGCCAAGGGTTGTCATGATCAAAAAGGCTTTTGTCAGCTGCTCTTCTGGCTTAGTCAGAGAAGCCTTGAATTTAGGGAATAAAAAAGAATGCATCTGGAAAAAGGCTCTTCTTCCCCAAGACTGCCATCGGCTGGATATTAACAGTGGTACCAGACGTTTATGCTGCTAGTGAGGGAATGGTGCCCCCTGGGGTTAGGAAAAATCAACTTGCACAACTGGAAGCCCAGCATCTGTTTCAGAATCACAAGCTTATAGCAGTTGCCACAGAAGTCTTTCTTCAGTTCTTTGAATAGTTTTCATAGTCTTAGGGACTCCTGGTGTGGCACTGCAGGATAAGCACTGGACTGCTAACCAAAAGGTCAGTGGTTCAAATCCAACAACTGCTGTTTGGAAACCCTACACAGGGTCACTATGAGTCAGAACTGACTTGATGGCATAAAACAACAAAACAAAGAACAAAGCAGCCCATCACAGTGACCAGAGCTAACCTAGACCTCAGACTTATCTGAGGTTCATACACACGTGTTCATTTTTGATAGATGATATCTTTGGAAGTGGACGGTGAATAATTGATTGCAACTTGGGTACTTCTCAAGAAAGCTGTGAGTTGAATACTTCTGAAGAAACTGGTGCTCTACTGTGTGGAGACAGTGGGAGGATGTAACAAGGCCATTGCTTTACCCCAAGACCCTGAGACCACTCCTCCCCTAGTGTCTCCACCCACCACCCTCTTGCTCAGGATTCCCTTTTGCATTGGGTGCTGAACTATGCACCTTTGAAGACTCATCCCAGCAAAAACCCACACTGCTAATGGTCCCTTCATCCCACCCCGCTCACCTGTATCCCTGCACACACCACAGCCTCCTCTTGAGTTGAGCGTCCCTCTGACTAAAGGCCCTCTCCCCTTGCTCTGACATTTGGTCTAAGATTTTGTTTATTGCTGGCCTTCACCTTGGCCTATCTCCCTCATAACCGAGGTCTGGCCACCAGCACCCACTCCATTTGCCTGATGAGTAACCTGGAATCACGGGTCTCCTCTGGTCAGTGTCAGGACACTCCAACAGCTCTGCAGGAAGCAGTATAACCTGGGGGTGGTTAGGATGGACTCACATCCTGCTCCGACTTTCTCTAGCTGTGTGAACTTGGATAAGCCACCTGACTTCTTCTCTAAGACTCATTTCCTCTTCTGAAAACGGGATAATAGTAACTTCCCTCACAGGGTCCGTATGTACCACAAAGTGTTTGGTAAAGGGCTCGGCATGAAAGCAACCTCAACAAACACGTGTGCAACATCATTCAGCACTGAACCTCATCTACAGCATTTGTGTCAAAGGATGGTTCAGGCTAGTGCCGAGCAGAGGTCCTGGAGCCAGCCAGTTCATCTGGGGCTTGGTCCAGCTCTACCATTGTGTGTCTCCATTCTCGCATCTGTAAAGTGGAGATTAGAACAGTGCACACATCACAGGGTGGGCGGGCTTGGGGGATTGGTGGTGGTACATGTACAGTAGCTTCTGGGTGTGCTCTGTCCTGCTAGCATCCTGTAGGTTACACGCGTCTGCCTAACAGCCTCAGCCTCGATGGATGCGTGTCCGCTGCGCTGCTCCTCTCCCAGCCCCTGGTAAAGGCTCCTCACTGCTGCTGAACATCAGACCCTTGCCTTACTTTGTGCTCTTCTCTCTTCAGACGTTTAATGAGTTTGAGGTCGAGCAGCACCAGGAGTGTGCCTACGATCACCTGGAAATATACGATGGCCCTGACAGCTTGGCCCCCGTCCTTGGCCGTTTCTGCGGCAGCAAGAAACCAGCCCCCGTGGTGGCTTCGAGTAGCAGCTTGTTTCTTAGGTTTTACTCGGACGCTTCAGTGCAGAGGAAAGGCTTTCAGGCGGAGCACAGCACAGGTACGGGTGTCCGGATGGCCTAGTGGGGGATGGACAGGGGCCGAGGCAGGACAAGGCTTATTCTGACTTTGGGGGAGGGGAGAGGAGGATCGATGTGATAAAATGCCCCCTTTAAAATGAAGCATTCACCACCCCATTTCTACCATAAAGGAGAAAGGTACAATGGTTAAGCGCTCAGCTGCTCATCAAAAGCTTGCTGGTTGAAACCCACAAGGCCATCCGAGGGAGAAAGATGTGACTCTTTGCTTCTATGAATATTACAGCGTTGGAAACTTTATGGGGTCAGAATCGACTTGATGGCAGCAGGCTTCCCATCATAGGGGGGAGGCTTATTTTCCTTTAATGTCCTTAATGGACAAAACTTCAAGTGGGCAACCCTTTGTTGGTGCCCTAATTTTTCCCCCTCCCCCCTTTCATCTTTAAAAACATTTCTTGGAATTTTGTTAGTCTCTGAAACCCTTAAGTCTGAGAGTTGAGGGGTAAAGAAATCAAAACACAAACACGCTGCTGTTGAGTTGATTTTGATTCATGTTGTTGTTGTTAGGTGCCATTCAGTCTGTACTGACTCATAGTGACTTATGCACAGCAGAATGAAACACTGTCCGATCCTGGGCCAACCTCACGATTGTTGCCACGTTTAAGTCCAACGATGCTGCCCTTTGGCCAATCCATCTTACTCAGGGTCTTCCTCTTTTTCTCTGACCCTCCACCTTACCAAACATGATATCCTTCTCCAGCGACTGGTCCCTCCTGACAATATGTCTGAAGTATGAGAGACAAAGTTTGGCCATCCTGGCCTCCAAGGAGCACTCTGGCTGCACTTCTTCCAAAACAGATCTGTTGGTTCTTTTGGCAGCCCATGGCACTTTCAATATTCTCCTCCAACACCATAACTCAAAAACATCAAGTCTTCTACCTTTTTATCCACTGTGCAGCTTTCACATGCATATGAGGTTATTGAAAATACCATGGCTTGGGTCAGACATACCTTAGTCCTCAAGTTGACATCTTTGCTCTTCAACACTTTAAAAAGGTCTTGTGTGGCAGATTTGCCTAATGCAATATGTTGTTTGATTTCTCGACTGCTCTTTCCGTTTTGGTTTATAGTGACTCTAAATAGTACTCCCAAGACTGTAAATCTTTATGGGAGCAGACAGCCTCTTCACTCTCCTGTGGAGTGGCTAGGTTTGAACCATCAACCTAGCCTTTTTTTCCCTTCCTTAGAGATGTGGCTCAGTGGGATAATGCACTAGACTGAAAGGACAGTTTGTACTGCAAGATCGGCAGTTTTAATTCACCAGCTGCTCCTCAGAAATCCTATACAGGGTTGCTATGAGTCGGAACTGACTCTACAACATTTTTCTCTCCATTCAAAATATTTATTGAGTCCTTTGGAGGACACCTACATGCTTATAATAAATATTATCTACCTTATTAAATAGGAGAATGCCCATAAGAAATCTGGCTCTGTTCTTTTAGCGATTGAAATGTTACCACTTTGTATGAGCCATGGGAGCATTTTGACACTCTGACCCTAGCTTTAGATTGTGGTCCTTTCGCAAAGCTAGGTGGCTTCATGTGACCCATTCAGCTCCTGTGATGTTATGAATCTGAGGTCCTGATCATGGGACCCTGTGAGGTGTTCTAATCCTTTTAACAGCCCCTTTCCCCACTTTGTTTTCAGAGCAGAACATATAAATCCAGCGAAACAAAATGGCAGCCAGTTTTCTCAGGCAATTTAACTTGCCTTTGCTTAGCAGAAAACATTTCATTGTTCTAGAGTCCTCTCAAGGACCCTGAGGAGTTCTAACTTCTTCTGGAGAAGCTTCAGAACCACATACTAGTGATTTTACATCTTGTCCGTACAGACAAAGACCAGGAGAGGAGACCCTTGAGATGGGATAGGATCCTGGCAGGAAATGGAGGTCACACTTAGATGGAGTAATTATTTGAGGAGCATTAATGAAGGGACAGTTTGCAGAAAGGTGTAGGATGAAAAACAACACTGAACTGCTGATTGCAAGGTCAGAGGTCCAAACCCACCATCCACTCCTTGGAAACTCTGTATAGGGTCGCTATAAGTTGTAACCAACTCAACAGCACACAACAACAGTAACAACAGGGAAGTCAGTAGGGACACTGGAGTAGCTGAAAGGTTGTTGCCACCCATGCCTGGTGGGTGAGAGGACAGAGTGGTTCTTGGACCCTGGAGATAGCCATGTGCAGAGAAGCTTGGGTTGAGTCCATGACCTTCAGTTGATGAACAGAGTCTGTAGTGACCTGCAGGGAGGGGACCAGCGACTAAATACCCTACCTTGTCTCTCTCTCTCTCCCTCTCATCTTGTGCTGAACCCAACTGTAAGGCAGAGAGCAAGGGCCATCAACATGGGTAGACTAGGGGTTAGCCTCACAGGGATGGAGCTGGTGGGGAAGGAGGAGGTAGGTCTGGAGGGATAGATGGAGGTGTCTTGCCTCACTCTGTGTTAGTTTCGTCGCTATTCACATCTCAGGAATTGAACATTTCCTAAAGATACTTCAGAATCCTGGTGTGACCCTGTAGGACAAGCACTGGACTGCAAGGGCAGTTTGAACCCCAAGATTGGTGGTGCAAACCCACCAGCCACTCCTTGGAAACCCTATACAGGTCACTATAAATTGCAACTGACTGGACGAAACTTAACAACAGCAACAAAGATACTTCAGACATAGAAGCAATCCTCAGTAGAGCAAACAAGGAATTGAAAGTTGGTAATCTCTGGGGCCAGGCTGGTCATGGGGCTGGGGCTGGAGGTGTTACGAACCAGACAGCCCAAAATCCACATGAAGGGGCATGGAGTGCTTTGAGGGAAGGCTGTGGAGGAATTGGCTTCCAGAATTTCTGGTGTTTCCTCCTCTATGATCATTTTCATTTATCCATTTATGTTATGTGTTCTCAAATGAAGGAAACTTGGTGGCACAATGAGTTAAGATCAAGAGGTTGGCATTTCAAACCCACCAGCTGCTCCAAAGGAGAAAGAGGAGACAGTCTGCTTCTATGAAGATTTACAGTCAGAAACCCTATTCTGCCCTATATATAGGGTCCCTATGAATGGGATCAATTCAACAGCAGTGGGTTTGGGGTTTAGTCCCAAGTGACCTAGACACAAAGAAGCATGGGACTGAAGTCACTCAGGGTTAACCCAGAAGCCAAGGATACAGAATACAAAGCCGAGGCTCAGCTCCTCTGGAATGGTCACAGAGATCTCAAAGCTGGGCCACAACCATTACTCCTGAATGTTAAGAGCAAGTTAGTTTCTACAGTTGAGTTTAGCTTCAGGTCTTAGTGTTTTAACGCCATCTATTGGCAGAAATTACAAAGTACAGTTGGTCTGTCAGGCTGATTTGATGAGCATTTAGCATTTCCAGAAAGTAAGGTCAGTGAAGCCCCAGCCAAATCCCAGTGTCCTATCAGACACGCCATCTATTGGTCTCAAGTCTCCATTACTGGAGAGAGAAAAAGCAGCCACATTTTCCTAGTCCATGCTGATGTAGCCTTAACATAGGAACATGGGACCTTGGCTGGTCAGAGCCAATTTGAGCCCTCCAAGGAATTCTGACCTTGGAGTCATGAGCCTTTCCTTGTTGTTGTTGTTGTTAAGTGCCGTAGAGTCGGTTCCGGCCCATAGCGACCCTGTATAGGGTTTCCGAGGAGTGACTGGTGAGCTTGAACCGCCGACCTTGTAGTTCAAACGGCTTTGCAGTCTGGGACATTAACCCACAGTGCCATTACTTAGGCCTCCATAAAATGGGGTGATAAGTCTTGCTCGGACTCTTCCTACAGGGTATGCCCAAAGCTCTGTAGAAAAAGCCCCCCGGCATGGTGGGTGTGAGGAGAGAAGGTCCAGGGGGGCATCACTGCTTTCTCCTTGCTGCAGAGTGTGGGGGCAGACTGAAGGCTGAGGTGCAGACCAAAGAGCTCTACTCCCATGCCCAGTTTGGGGACAACAACTACCCGAGCCAGGCCCGCTGTGATTGGGTGATTGTGGCGGAAGACGGCTATGGCGTGGAGCTGGTATTCCAGACCTTTGAAGTCGAGGAGGAAGCCGACTGTGGCTATGACTACATGGAGGCCTACGATGGGTACGACAGCACGGCGCCCAGACTTGGCCGCTTCTGTGGCTCCTGGGTAAGTCCCAGGGAACCCACGCATCATGATGAACTGCGTGCCTTGGAGAGTTAGACAGCCAGGGGAGCCATCGTGCGGGAGCAGAGCGCAGGAACACTGACAACAGTCCCAGAGGAGGTCTGGAGGCAGCCAGGGGCCAGCCACTTCAGGAGGGCCTGCACTAAGGTAGCCACATCAAAGCACCTTGCCTTTTAGGATGTCCCCACCGCCCTACTAAAAAAAATTTTTTTTTTGACTTTTCAATTTTTTTTTTTCATTTTCAAACCCTATTTGTCTTGAAACAAGAAATATATTTAAAAATCAACAATCAAGTAATCCTCACTTCAAAATTTTAAATTTATGCTTACCCCTTGTATCATACTGGGTTTTTTTTCCAAGTTTTTAATGAACTGAGTGATCGTTTACATGGGAGAATATTGGCTTTACACCATCGTTTCATTGCATGGATTACAATCTCCTTTGTGCGTCATCATCCAATAGTATTCACTTCCATTCCCTCTGTTTTTTGTTTTGTTTAGGGGGTGGGAGGCTCACCAACCCCCCCACACCCCTGTTTTTGCAAAGTTTTTTTTTTCCTTGATATTTTCATTTGGCCTTCAGGCTATTGTTTTATTTGTAATGATTTTACATACTCCATATATTAAAAATTAATTTTTTAAGCAAAACCATATACTTCTGGAAATTCCCAATCCCTCTCTTATTATAAACACTATAGTTATGTTCTGGTAGCGTAGTGGTTACGAATCGGGCTGCGAACCTCAGAGTCAGCAGTTCGAAACTACCAGCTGTTCCACGGGAGAAAGATGAGGCTCTCTGTTCCTGTGAAGATTTATAGCCTCGGAAACCCTGTACAGGGTGGCTATGAGTCGGAACCGACTCCACGGCACATAACAACAACAACAACAACAACAACATTGTTGTTGTTTCCTTCTCTGGTCCAGGCCACCTAGCCCACACATCAGGCCTATTTTGTTCACTTTTCCCCAACACCTGACATAGTGCCTGGCACATAGTTGGTGCTAAGTGGATGTGTGTGGTCAGCCAGTACTGTGTCCTGGTCACTCCCTAGGCCCCTAGCTCTCTTCTTTCCTTTGCCTCTAGGGCTGACCACACAAATTCTTTAATGTTATCTAGATTTGCATCAAGTCATTTTGGAGTGTCTGGTTATCTTGCACTAAATAGAACCTTGTGTTGGTTGTTATATTTCTTTGAAGAATTTCCCTTCATCTTCTTTCACCCTCAAAGAAGAAAGAATAATGAAGTGTAACTTAGCCATTGCAGTGCCGTTTATAGAATCTTTCAAATCTTGGGTTCCACGTGAAGCGGGGGCACTTGGAGGACTCCACCGTAGTGAAATGTGTGAGAAGCCCAATTTGAGTCAGCCATGCATGTTGGAATCTGGCTCCCATGCATTTTGGCCAAACTTTTCTGACAAATATGGTCACTCCATCCCACTTTTATCCTCAGACAGGGCTTAGGTCTCAACAATGGTCTTTGTTTTAGGCTTCCTGAGTTTCACCTCGTTAACTAGAGGATCGAGTGATTCAAGATATGCACTCTACAGTCAGAAAGATGTGAGATTGCACCTGCCTACCTGAGTGAACTTGAGCCTCAGTTTCCTCAGCATAAACTGGGGACAATGCTTGCCTGTCTTCTAAAGCTGTTGTAAAATTTACATGAGATAGTTTCTGAAAATGCTTAGCATGGTGCTTGGCCTATCTATGAGTTTAGTGAAGAACAGATTTTATATGAGTGATGTGTTGGGGAAACAAGGGCATAGGGCGTTCTCTGGGACAGAATTTGTAATGATTTCTTTTGAAAAGGAGCTTGTTTAGTCCCTAGGATGCCTCATGGCAGCACCAGCCACCCTATGTTCTTGTGTAAATTGCTGTCTTATTCTCCTTATTTTAAAGCCCAATTACAGCCAACTGACTGACAGATCCCCTGGTCTTCCTTTCTTCTTTCCTCAGCCATTGGAAGAAATCTACTCTGCAGGAGACTCCCTGATGATTCGATTCCACACGGACGACACCATCAACAAGAAAGGCTTTCATGCTCAATACACTAGCACCAAGTTCCAAGATGCCCTGCACATGAAGAAATGATGATGATGTTCTTGAAAGGCACAGAACTGAGAATGTTTTTACAATAGCACCTTGTGAATCTGCCCCCAAACAGTGTACAGTATTTTTCTCAAATGAAAACTCAAAACCAGTCTTAAAGATATTTATTTGAATGAAAGTACATAATGGTGTTTGGCCAACAAGGAGGCCATAAAATGTTCCTTTTATTCCAGCTGCAATAGCATTACCCACAGGCTTCTAAAGAAGATCAAGTTTGAAGTCACTGACCATTCAAGATATTCCTTTTCATACTCAATCTTCTTGTCCCTTACTCCTTTGATGGGAAAGATTAGCTCTTGAGTTGGCCATTCCTCCATTTCTGGAAGCAATTCTGTAGGTGCCAGAGAGGGTGACCACATCCTGGGAACTCAAGCTGTCTTCCATCTACACTGGGCAATGAGGATAAAACTGGCCTGTGGTTGATTTGTAACTCACAGCTTTGGCTGGAGACTTTTGCTTTTCTCTCTGCCAGGGATGTCAACCAGGAAACCTGAGAACATGGGATGAACGTGAGATCTAATAAAGGCGTTGGAGTAAGTAGCACAGAAGGAGTTTGCAGTATAAATTAATCATGGCAGTAAAGTGAGGAAAGAGACCGTGGGCTTTCTCTGTGTCATTGGCTCACCTTTTCTTCTTTGGGGTTTCCCCACCAGATGGTGCAACAGCTAAACTCGATTGCTAACTGAGAGGTTGGTGGTTTGAACCCACAAGTAGCTCCATGGATGGGAAACTTGGCAATCTGTTTAGAAAACCCTATGGGGCAGTTGTCCTCTGTCACATGGGATCTCTAGGAGTCGAAAATCAACTTGATGGCACCAAACAACAGCAGTTTCATTGGGAACTAAGAAAGACATCCACCAGGAAATCCAGCTAAGCCATTGCTGCCAAGAGTTTGCTGTGAGGAAAACATCCTGATTCCTCCTGGTACTCCTTGACTTGTTCTCTTTAAGAAGACCCCATTTGTGCTTGGGATTCCACTGGTTTAGAACAGGAGTTAAAAACCTTTTTTCTGCCCAAAATTATATCATCATTTGCCACACAAAGTTATCAACTTAAAAATTAGCCTGATATCTTTGGTCAAACATTTAATTAGCTTATCCCTAATGTGATGGCTGGAACTGTGGTTGCCTTGGCAGGGCCAGACCAAATGTTTTCATGGGTCTTAATATGGCCCATGGGCCGGAGGTTCCCCACCTCTGGTTTAGAAGAACATTTCTTCCTCCAGCTTTGGAGCCACTTTCTGTGGCTAACCTTGACTCCTTGGCAACCACACAAACAGCATCTGCAAGAAGTTCAAAGATATCTTGGGAGGGACTAGTTTAGGTCCCTCATGGAGTGAACTCTTGAAAACTGGTTAATTATAAGTATGTAAGAATCATCGTATTGTGGAAGGAGTCAACCTGTGACTTACTTCCTGTAACCAATCAGGTTAAAGGGTGCTTTGTAACTTTGCTCAGATTCATTAACCTTCAATCACCAACTTGCAATTGATATTCATCACACTTGGCACTTGTTCTAGAGAAATGTAGAGGATGATGTTTACATAATTGTAGAACCTCAAGATATAATTTAAACCGTGAAGTAGTTTTGAATAGCATTTCATTAAGGCATCTATGGGCATTATGAGCTAAAAGCTGTGGTATGTTAGCTTTAAAAGAGTATTTATGTTGGAATAACTTTCAAGTAATGTTTACATGACTATAAGTCCTGTTCAATTGGTGTTGAGCATAGGGCAGCACAGGAGAGTGTTTTTAGTGAGAGTCAAGATCGCTCCCAAATACCAGGATTCCTTTGGGATGAGTCAACATCATTGTAAACAAAGTATTTGTAAAAGGTTAAGGGTTATATATTTTTTTAATTAGAATTTGCCCCCAAAGGACCATGTCTACTTAAAATGATTGCTGGGAGTGAAAATAGGAAAATATAAAGGTAAAGGAAATGAAATGCATGGGAATACTTTTTCTCCTTAAGACAGAATAAAATCAAAGAAAGTCTTATGATGAATTATTATGTACGTCTGTATATTTGTATGTATGTAAAGCGGTTAAAGCCTTAATCAATGCAGTGTGAAAAATGCCGACCCACTGACCATAGCTTTATTGTCCAAGCCCCACTGTGTCAGCGCGCATTCTCTGCCTCTCTTCTCACCAAGCTCTGTTTTGGCCTTTGCTGGCCATGGATTGAGGTTCAGCCTGTATTCTCCTATTCTGTTATATGGCTTAGTCTGCCTAGGGTGAACTTTGATACAGCAAACAGTTCAGCTCTCACCCACCTATTCTGGTGATTTCCATTTCTCCCATTTTTGCTTTTTCTGGAGTTTTATCTTACCTCATTTTGTCCGTCAAAGTTGAAACTAAGAGCCGGAAGCCTAAGTTAGTTGTTAGGGTGTACATCTCTCCAAGGACACAAACATTCTTGTAGCTTCGGCATTTTGGAAGTTTAAATAAGATGAAAGTCTTGACCCAAAGTTTGGGAGTTAGAATCCACCCAGACGTGTCTTAGAAGAATAGTCTGGCGATCAATCTCCTTCCAGAAACTTGGTCACTGAAAACAATGTGGTGCACGGTTTCTACGGTGACATGTGTGGAGTCGGCATGAGTTAGACTCAATTCATTTTTGACTAGTTTTGTTTTCATTCCAAAGAAAAGTGGAAGGAGTCAAAAACAACCTGTGGGCTTCTGTACCCTTGTGAAACAATGGCACTTCCTTTTCTCTTTAGGATGAATGTTTTAAAAAACAAAGCTTCAGCAATGATCAACATATGACCAATTTGAAACAATGGGATGTTTATGAAAACTTTTCCTTAGGCCCTCTGTGAGTGATGTATTCCCCAATAAAGACAAGCTCTGTTTCAGCTGGGGTTGGCCACCTCACCATTCTCCTGAGAGCCTACACTCACTGGGATTCTTGCAGGATACATGTGGTCATGCACAGAACACAAGACTGGCTTCACCAGTGACAGCTTATTTAGCAGAAAGGCCCAAGCCCTCTGCTTCGGCTCAGTGATCTTCCTGCAAACACGCCTAAACAGGTGAAGGGACTAGAGACTATTGCTCTGGGCTGCATTGTCCTTTAATTGGATGCCGGGCCCTGGGGATACCACAGAACCCCAAGAGTAGTTTCAGTTTAAGGAATTATTATCGGATGATGGACTATTTGTGTCACCCTAGCCTGTTCCAGTCTTAGTGTAATCTGGTCTAACAGAGCTGGAACCTGGGCTGAAATCCACTTTGATTAGACGAATATCTCCAGAGAAAATGGGGCTGTGCATGGGTTCTCTGCAAAACGTTCTTCTAAAGGAAAAATTTCTATTGTTCATGAATTGCTCAGCTTGTTTAAATCATTTGTATGAGCCTGTTAAGTAGCAAATTTACATTGATGTTTATTATACATCTGGTCCATTTTGATAACTCTCAAATAATTTATAGTATTGCTATTGTTCCTTTTGGAGATAACTGTACCCTTGGCTCCAGCACATGTATTTTTTTTTACAGTTTCCTCTGTAGACGGAACTTCTGAACAATAATTTCAAATGTTTAAAAGAGTTCTTGAAAGAGAAAAAAAAAGTAAAGTGTGTATCTACAAATATATGGGTATTTTTTATTTAGTGTAATTTTACATTACACAAAACGATGTCAGTTTCAAAGAGAAATGGAGAGGAGTTAACATGTGTCTCTGTCTAGAAAGAATTTTATTAAAGAATGTGGATTTATTGATGTGTCTTGAGTTTACATTACTAGTTCAGTCAAGATTTGACCTCTTGGCAATGCTTTTTTCTAATTACCACAAGAATTTGGGGAAAGATATGAAAAGGGGATCCTTCTCTGCCACTCTCTGGTGAGTATCCAGAACATCATGGATCTAGAAGATCATCGCAAAGCTGAAGATGACTTTTAAAGCTTCCTGCTTCCTTGGACCCAAACAAGCTGGAAATCTGGTAGTAAACGTAACTGTGAACAGTTGCTAATGCAACTGTTCCAGACTCTGAGATGGTCTGTGGTCTACATCTTTGTCCCTCAGCATGAGCCGGAAGGTCACTGCTCTTATAAAGTAGCCCTCTCTCTCCAGGTTCTGGTAGCCACTCCTTCCACTTGTCCCTTCAGATCTAGGAAGGGTAATGGCCCCCACTGGTCTAGCCCTGGAATACTGCTCTATCCTTCCAAAGAACCTTTCAAAACAGTCCCTTTAGTAAGTCCTCCTCAAACATCATAAATTGTGTATACCATCTGCTTCCTGCTGGGACCCTGGCTGTTAACAGATCATTTCTAATGAAAGGACAAAGATCAAAGATACATTTTGTAAGACTTGATTAGATGGATGAAGAGGCTTTGGAGCATGTTTGGAGTTTTGTGGAGTGTGTCAGAGAAGGGGACTATGTTTTTACAAAACACTCAGATTAGTCTTAATGTGTAGCCCCCTTTAACACATGCAACTATTTTGTGCTACTTGAAGAATCTCCAGGTTTTATGACGTCTGTTCTTTTTGCAGTAGTCACTAGTTTATGTCTGTCTATCTGTCTGTCTATCTATCTATCTATCTATCTATCTATCTATCTATCTATCTATCTATCATCTACCTACCAATCTAAGGATCCCTGGTGGTTAAGTGCTCAGCTGCTAACCAATGGGCAGTTAGAACCCACCAGTCATTCTGCGCAAGAATTATGTAGCAGTCTGCTTCTGTAAAGAGTACAGCCTTGGAAACTCTATGGGGCAGTTCTACTCTGTCCTATAGTGTTGCCATGAGTTAGAATCCACAGCAAAAGGTTGAGACTTAAAAAAAAAACACACAAAAAAACTATCCATCTATCATCTACCTACCTATCCATCCACTCATCTATCTATCTATCTATCTATCTATCTACAAACAGCCTCAAGATCTCAGAGGCTTTAAGTAACACATAAAGAAATATATGTTTATTTCTGGTCACCTGAAATCTCTTTCATGCTATTGTCAGTCAGTATTCAGGTTGACTCCAGCCA